TCTTCTTCTTTCTATGCCGATTTCACGCGCCCTTCTCGAGCTCCGAACTCAGCTGGAGCTGGACTCTGGCACAGGGCCTTGGGCCATCCTCGACTGCTTTCCCAGGGTACAAGCAAGGAGCTGGATGCGAAACGGGGCCACTAGGATTAGAACTGGTGCCCACATGGGACCCCGGTGTGTGCAAGGCAAGGACTTTAGCTGCTAGGCTACTGCGCTGGGCCCCCAATATATTTTTTTTAAAGAAAGATTTATGCAGAGTCACACAGAGAGAAAGAGATCTTCTACCCACTGGTAAATTATTTCCCAAAGGACCAAAGTGTGAACTCCATCATGGTTTCCCAAGTGGGTTCCAGGAATCCAATGCTTTGCCGTCTTCAAGCTACTTTCACAGGTGCATCAGTGAGGAGCTGACTCAGAAGCAGAGCTGCTGGGACTCAGCCAGCACTTCAGAGTGGGATGCTGGGATTGCCAGTGGCACCTTAACTTGTGGTACCACATACTGGCCCCTTCCATTAACTTTTTTGAAGAGCCTTTGTGTGTGTATGGTATCTAATATGCTAATATAATGTTTACTGTAATTACTGAAGTCTCCAAAGGAGGTAAAAGAGAAGGAGGTGGATGTTGCAGGGCTTCTTCCTGCTGCCGTGCAGCTCAGGAGCGAATGTTGGCAGTGCTGTTTGGCATGCAGCCACTTTGTGAGTGGCAGATTCAGCCAGTTGATGCTCACTTTTCTTGTGTTCAACCCTGTCCCATGTGCATCAGAGATGCTTACGAGACACTGTTCCTGACCTCAAGTGGCTTATAACTGAGCTTGGAAATTTGTGCTTGCAACTCATAAAATAGATAAAAATGAAGTGGGGAGAGTTTTGTGGGGGAAGTGGGACCGGAATTAAGCCATGAAGGTTGAGTCCAGAAAGCCGAGACGGCTGCAAGGCATGCTCGTTACAGTTGGACCTCTGCCGTCGCTGGGGGCTCTGCAACCGCAGATTCCGAGAGGTGCAGAGGACTGCACTGAACGTGGACAGATGTTTTTCTTGTCATGAGTTCCTAAGTAGTACAGTATAACAGCTTACACAACATCTGCACTGTGTTAAGTATCATAACGAATCCCGAAATGATTTAAAGCATACAGGGATGTGCGTGTAAGTTAATGAAAACAAATTGTACCATTTTTTTTCTTTTTTTAAGATTTATTTATTTTTGGGCCCGGCGCAGTGGCGCAGTGGCGCAAGTGGTTAAGGTCCTCGCCTTGCACGCTCGGGATTCCATATGGGTGCCGGTTCTAATCCTGGCGGCCCCGTTTCCCTTCCAGCTCCCTGCCTGTGGCCCGGGAAAGCAGTCGAGGACGGCCCAAAGCTTTGGGACCCTGCACCCGCGTGGGAGACCAGGAAGAGGCTCCTGGCTACAGATTGGCATAGCACTGGCCGTTGCGCTCACTTGGGGAGTGAATCATTGGACGGAAGATCTTCCTCTCTGTCTCTCCTCTCTGTATATCCGCCTTTCCAATAAAAAAAAAATAAAGTAAATCTTTTAAAAAAAGATTTATTTATTTTTATTGGAAAGTCAGATAGGAGAGAAGTAAGGGAGTTGAGCATCCAAGTGCTTTATTGTCCATGGAGTGTTCTGGAACCGAGGAATATCCATGCATGCATATTGGAGGGTTCATAGTGCTAATAGAAAGCCTAGGAGTGTTAATAAATCATGCGTGCAGAATATAGCGAGGACATGGGAGTCCAGGAGTACTTGGCAGGGAGCAGGGGGAATTATGAGTAAATAAGGGTATATGTCTCACCAAATGGCAGAAGTCTTAAAGGACAGCCTGAGGACTTTGGCTTGCCAAGTGGGTGATATGTGTGGGGGTGGGTGATAAGAGTGGGAGATGGGGGAAGTAAGAGCAGTGAAACAGAGAAGTATCGAATAGGGTGAGGTTGATTGCTACAGAGTAGAGCTTGTCTTGCAAGCAAAATCCAGCAACACAGTTATTCCTGAGTTACAGATGAAACACTGTGACCCAGGGATGTTACACCCTCTGTTACACGCTCAGACTAACATGTAATGGAGCCAGTACAGAACCTTGTCATCACGGTGCTGTGGAGCCGTGCTTACCTCACCTTTAATGTGAGAACTTTTTGTGGAGGATGTTCTGGTGCAAGTCTCTTGAAACCTTCCTGAACGCCCCTCTCCCTCACTCAGCATCTGTGTGTATAGTCTGAGTTGATTGCGGGTGTAATTGTGTGTGTGTGGTTGGCGCTGTCCTTGGAGCCTCTTCCCTCACTCTGAACAGAAGCTTACTGTCTGCTTTCCCATAGGAAAGTCAGGTGTGTGTTTTATGGTAAGAGTTACGGTGGTCTGCGTGGAGAAGGAACTTGATAGAGCTGCTGCAGTGTCTGCGTATAGATGACCCTTGACGAAGGGAACATTTTGTCTCCAACTTCAGAAACCAGTGGGTGAATCCAGGCTGCTGGTCTCTGGGGAAACGAGTTACTGATTTACATAAAGTTGATTCAATTTGTTATATGCCAAGCGCAGATTGAGTATCCCGAGTCTGAAAATTTTAAATTTGAAGTGAACTCCAAAACTGAAACTTTTCGGTACTGCTGATGCGACACCACAGATGGAGAATTCTACACTTGACTGTGGTGCATCACAGTTAAAATGCACCAAAAGTACAGTCTCAAATTAGCTTTGCGGCGTGTGTAAGAATATACAAAATGAATTTTGTGTTTTAACCTGGGTTTCTTAACCAAGAAGTTTTGTTATATGTATGCAGATATTCCAGAAACTGAGAAAAAAAAAAGCCAAATTCTGAGACACGTAAAGAAATAATCAGGTACGATAAATTAACTAAGGATAGTTACATGCTCAAGTTTAATTGTGATGAAAGCTGATTTTGACTAAGTGAACAAAAGAACATAAGATACTCTTAGGCTCATTAGAAGGATACTGGAGAAGATCTGTAGAACCTGTCCAAAGCCTGGAGAGCTTCAGGAAGGATGGGGACACAGGCAGCTGTGGGAATTACGCGGGCATCACTTCTGGATGCTGCCATTGCCCTGACTCAGCTCCACCTGCTCTAGATTACCTTTCCTAAATCAGATTTCTCCGTTGGATGTGTATCCTCCCCAGGCTTATATGGTGAGCAGGATGGGTAACTGCAAAGGAAGGTGTTCTGGGAGCATAGACACAACTCTGATGTGCATGAAGCAGCTTTGAACCCATACATTTATAGTCAGCGGGGAAGCACAGGTAGTTAAGCCATAAGACTCTGATGGCTGCTATAGAAAGTTTGTATAAAGTGCACTGGGAGTTTTTACATTTGCCTGGGGGCATAGGTGTCAGGTGAATTCCATGGAAGTTGTCTGAACCAAATTCTAAAGGCTGAGTAAAAATGTGCCAGTTGGACAGATGCCTTTCAGGAAGAGGGACTGTTGTGATGTAGTGATGTGAAACAGTGGTCCAGCAAGTGCAAGCAGTTCCAAGTACTTGATCTAGAGTGTGCAGCTAAGAAGGAGAAATGGGGCTGGGCCATGCACTGAATGAGACACAGGCACTTTTAATCCTACAAGTTGAACTGTCTGTTCATGATTTTAGGTGCTAAGAGGACATGCATGAACAGTTCTCAATTTAGGGAAACCATCATAGAGGCTCTAGCAGGGACCTCACGTTCAGCTCTCTGGAGTGTGGTTGTGGCCGTGGGGACCACTCCAGACCAGTCAGACCAGTCAAGGCATCTCCCATTCAGTGGGAAAGCTCCAGATGTTAGCATCATTCCCAGTCATTCCTCTTCCAGCAGATACAGGGAACGGTGGTAAGTGAAGAAAAGAGGTCCCTGGTGATTTTCATTGCCTGTGGGATGTCTGAACGTTTGAGAATGACGTGTCTGGAGCCCCAGAGATCACCAAAGAAGCAAGGACTGGGGGGTTTCCCTTCCACAACCAGCTTGCGGTTAGTGCATAGAAATTGGGGGTGTGTGGTGGGAAGCGGAACTCTGGGGAGAACAGTCCAGAAGACGCTGCTGGGTCACCCAGTCCTGGAAGGGACGGAACCTTTGTGAGGACGTTGAATGAGGTTGAAAGAGCTGGGGTCTCTTAAGGGTTGCTGGGAGTTGAGGGAGAACTTCCTTTCCTGTGTAAACATGAAGAGAGCCGCACAGCGTGTTTTTTTTTATAGTAGGTGGTTTCTGAAAACAGGAAAAGTCTCTGCTCCTGCTGCGAGGATTCAGAGCTCGTGCTTTGGAGGAATTTTGTCTTGAACCTGTTGGAACAGAGTTGAGAATAGGCTCAGATCCAGTGGATTGCTTAGAATTTGCCTGGACTATGTTTGGGCTTCATGCTTTTGGACAAGTTACTTTAACTGAGGTTAGTGAACTCAGCTAGAGTGAGTATGGGCACAAGGAGGTTACCTAGAATTGAGAGAGTTTTGTGTGTGTGAACTTCTTTTGGCACCTATGCAAAGTTTCTCATAATACATATTTTCTGTGATAAGTTTCATGTTTTACCAGATAGCTTTGTTTTAATTCTGTTTTCCATTAAATCTTTGAAATCCCCTCATATTAGAAATATCACCACTAGCACTATGAATGCCACCACCAGTAATAACCAAACCTAAAACTAAGTCCTTCAGTGTGCTAAGTACTGTGTGAAAGCATCTTATATTCATGATCTCACTGACTGCTTCAAGAATCCTGTGAACTGGGCAGTGCTGTTACTTGTGTTAGCATTGGATTTCGAGGCAGCAAGGTTGATCACGTATACCTGCCTCCCTTTACTACTGCAGAAAGCCCCTAATTGGTGGAGCCAGGACTTCATTTCAGCCAGTGTGTCACCCCTCCACCCTCTGAGTTTGATATTTCATAGAAATGCTATGAGCTTTAAAAGAAATAGTGTACAGAAAGCTTACTATTGCGCCCAGTACTTCATTTGTGCTCAGTAATACTAGCTATTTGCTTTGCTTTTAATTTCCGTTCTGCTCTTTTTGTGTGTGTGTGTGTGTGTCTGCAGAAGCAGCTGACACAGGATGACGACACCGACGAGGTTGAGATCGCTATTGACAACACAGCGTTCATGGATGAATTCTTTCAAGAGGTTGGTGACTTTCTGGTGTTTTATTCTGAATGTGCCTAAGGAATCACAACTTCCATGATAAGAGTACAGAGTTGCCTCTCTCCAAGGCGGCAGTAGGAGGCCACAGTCTTGCTGGGTGGTATGGAGGCATAAACGTGCTACAAGGAGATTGCCTTTTCAGTTCTTCCCTGGCAAGATGTGAATTCCAACCAATAACGCTGTAATTGAAGAGGTGCTTTTCTCGTGTTCTATAACAACACTCCAATGACAACCTTTCTGCCTGAAGTCTACAGTTTAACTACAGCATGGCCATGAGTGTGAAAAAAGGTTGCATCTTAAAGTCTGTGATTCAAATAGATCAAATTTGTTGAATCTAATGATTTTTGTAGTCTGACTTACTCTCGTGGCTGCCGAGGACTTTAGACACCAGCAGTTCAACAGGGGCAGAAATGGGCTGCTTATAGATACTCATGAATGCCTCAGTCTCAGAGGTCTTTGCTGGAGGAATGTTGTAGACAGGAAGTGGTAGGAAGCTTGTGGAGTTAGGAGTTTATCCTGGACAGAGGTGGTGTAGGCAAGGGACCGATAACATAATCCCCCATAGGATTAGAGTAAGGATTAAATAGAATACTGTTTGTAAAACATTTAGTGTGGCATTAGGTGTATGTTTATTCAATTAAGGATTCTTAAAAACAAACTCCAGAGCATAAGATTGCTGAAGTTCTTGGCACCACAATATGATTTACATTCCTCTAAAGAATAGAAAAGGCACCGTAATCTTTTTGCAGGTGGAGTGTGAAAGCTTCAGTCCCGCACACTGCAGAGTGAAGTAGCCCTAGCTCCTCTCGAAATGGAGTAGAGTTGGAGCTTGATTGTTAATGCCTTTTTACCATGAGAGCAATTAAAGGATTGAAGAGCCAACTTGAACATGTGTGGGCCTGGATGGAAGATCAGCTATGAATGTGCTGTAGCACCTCATGTTTCTCATCTTGGTTGCGGAACCATAGTAAGATAAAAAAATACTTGGGTTTTGTGATTGTGTTTTTATTCCAAGTATGTTATAAAAGGAAAATGTTCTGCTGTCCACTAGCAAAGGGTGAACTTAACAATGCTGGAACTCACTGTGGCTTGTTCCTACAATCTTGTCTTGGTGACCCAAAGTTTTGTTTAAGAGCATCTTTTGTAGGATAAAACATTCTCTCCAGAAAGTGTGTAGTTAAAACAGAGGATTCCTGAGGGGAAGTGTTTCTTGTGAGGCGAGAGGATGGTGGAGCTTGGCCTGCGAGAGTTTATTTGGGTCCAACCTTAAGTATTTCGTAACAGTGTGATCTTGAACACATTATTTGTTCTGTCTGGGCTTGAACCTCCTGCCTTGGAAATCAGCAGCGTTAGCACTTACCCTGCAAGGCTCTTGTGAAGATCACGTGGGCCATGCCCCTGGAAAGCATTTTCTAGATGAAAAGCACAAACTAGTTGGTCACTGTGTTTGTTATAGACTGACGTGGATTTTCTCAGATGCGTCACTTCTATGAATTTCTCTTTGCTAGTTGACTTTCTGTCATTTGGGTAGAACCCACATGGAACCTTATTCCATTTAGGATAGAAATGGGATAGTGTGGTAAAGTGCAAAGAGCATGGCCTTTGAAAGCAAAGTCTGAGTTTCTGCATATTTAGCATGGAGTTAGTGCTGTTTTTCTCCTTGATCAGTTGATGGAATAGAGGGGTGGACAATTGGGAGCGAGGATAGAGGCAGGAGAGAAAGATCATGGTAAAAAAAAAAATCCTTCAGATTCTGTCTCACAGAGCCTGGTCTAAATCTCAGCTCTGTCCGTTATTTTTGTGTTGTATCTTTGGAAAAGCTCTGTAACTCCCAAGCCTGTTTCCCCTCAAATGGGAAAGGGGGCTGTCACCTGCCAGTTACTATGAACATACAGTAAAAAACTGCAGGGCAACACCTAGCATGGTGCCTTTTAGTTCTCATTACTATTCTGTCCACCATTTATTTTTAATGCATGGTAGGCTATAACCTTTCTTGTTATTTTTGTTAATAGAATGTTCTGTCAATATCCTTGGAATTGATATGAACTACATTTCAAAACTGGAGAAAGGAGAAGTCTCCTTGTCTACATGGCTGGGCGACATGCTTAGCACGTCTTGCAGTATATATAGCTAAGTAGTTTTCTTGGGAAAGGACTCTTGTACTGAAACTTGCTTTTTTGGACTAATTCCAAAAGTTTACTGTTGATTCTCTGCTGAGAGCCAACTGTGAATCACAGTGTGGTCACAGGGCATTTGCAAGAAACAGATGAACTCACAGGGCCAGGATGTTTTCAGAATGTGATTTGCACTGTAAAATTCAGATGGATTCTCCAGTTTCTCAGCTGTTTAAAGAATCAGCCTTTGGGTTTCCAGGCCTTCTTGACTGATTATTCTAGAACTTGGTGAATGATTAATTACAGATTGTTGTCTGATGTGCAATTATCTATCTATCTCTTGATCTGTTTGCTCTCCTGACAGAACAATGTCTCAGAGGACACAGAACTGTCTTTGAAGGCAAGGACTTTAGAAGTGTAGTTCGATGGAACATCCATTCATCAAAATCTGTGAATGCTCTTTGTTTTCTGGGCAGTGTGTAGGGTCTGGGGATGCAGTATCTTATGGACAACTCAGTCTACTTTCCAGTGGTCCCACCTCCAAATACCATCACGCTGAGGATTAGGAGTCAACATATGAAATTTCAGGAAACAAATTATTCAGTCCATAACAGACACACTTAAAAAATCTCTTTTTTTTGTAGTGGTGAGTGAAGCATATTTGTCTCTTGAATTTACTTGTATTTATTTATTATTTGAATAGTTGTCTAAATGAGTGGTACCATGTGCTTGATATAACAATGGACACCAACACATGATCCCAGGACTTGGAGAAATGAGAGTCGAGAGTTTGTGGGCAAAGTTCTGTGGCTCTGGTGGGTGGGGTTGGGTAGAGAAAGATAGATGTTTAAAAGCATTGAGACTTGCCAGGTAGATTTGGTTAACAGTAAGAACTTCGAAGTCAGTGTCACTTGGAAATATAGGTATTAAGCAAAATCTGGTGGGCTTAATACTTCTTAATATTCAGTAGAATATTTGGATCACAGAGCCAACTAAGGAAACTGGTAGATTGGACATTTCTGGGTTCTTTCACTTGCATAGGCAGGAAGTCCTTGCCAGTCATTCTCCTGTTTGCTATTAGGCCCATTCCTTGCCCTGCCTGTGCTCTGCCCTGTATTACAGGAAACAGCATTTCCTGGGTTCTCTTGCCAGCTGGATTTTGTATGTTTGATCAAGGGGAGTGCTATGAAATAAACATGTGTCTCCTCCCCTAAATTCATATGTTAACGGCCAAGGTAGATATTGGAATTCCAGCACTGAGAACTCTTGTAAATATATACTTATTGTAAAACAAAATTATTTTTATTTGAAAGGCAGATTTGACAGAGAGAAAGGTCTTCCATCACTGGTTCACTCTCCAAATGGCGTTAATGTCCAAAGCTGAGTTGATCTGAAGCCGGTAGCTAGGAGCTTCTTTTCAGATCTCCCACGTGGGTGCAGGGGCTCAAAGACATGGGCCATCCTCTGCTGCTTTCCCAGATCATGGTTAGGGAGCTGGATTGGAAGTGGAGCAGCTGAGACTTGAACCAATTCACATATGGAAATACCGGCACTGTAGGCGAAGGATTAGCGTGTTACGCCACTGCACTGGCTCCAATCTGTGCTTATGTTTTAAGTCACTTAGTTTTTCTTGAAGGAGTCTGTTACACACAGCAGCACTGGCAGAGGCATTGGCTTCCTTCCTCTGTTCCTGTTCCCCAGACTTGTCTGCATTGTGGCCTTAGCTTTTACTCCGGAGAACCTGCCTCCATGGTCCAACAGAGGAAAAGCTCCAGCATGGGCTAACTCTGGCAGGGAGCTCTGGCCGCCCTGCTGCCTTCTTAGACCTTCCAGCTTGTGCTTGTTAATTTATTATGATTTAGATTCGAGAGGCAGGGAGACAGATGTGGGCAGATCTTCCATTTGCTTGTTCACCTCCCATGTGCACACAGCAGCCAGGCCTGGGCCAAGCTGAAGCCAAGAGTTGGGACCTGAAGGTGGTGAGAGCTGCTGCTTCCTGGCTCTGCATTAACGGGAAGCTGAAATTTGGAGCTAGAGCCAGGACTTGAAACCAAGTACTGTGATATGGGCTGCAGATTTCTTGACTAGTACCTTAGCTGTGGGTCACATTCCCTCCCTGTGTTGCTAATTTTAAGAGGGCTTCATCATCCTCTAGTCTCCTAGCCCTTCCGGTCCTCTTGGTGGACAATTTCTATTGTATCACTTTGGCTGATATAACAGAACAGTTTTTTTTTTTTGTCTTTCCAGACTACAGTTTGTGTGATGCAAAGTCCAAATGCATACATTTAATTGATTTGAGATCACTTTCTGAGAATATTTCTTTTTGTTGACCAACATAATTCTTAAGAGCGTTGCTTTGCTTTCGTTTATGAAAGGAGAATTGAAACTCTATAGTCTTGACGAAAGTCAAGGAACTTGACTTGTGTCGCTTGGCTGACTGAGATGGCTCTCCTCCCTTCCTCTCTTCTCATCACTAATTATTGTTTAAAGCAAAGCGGTCTGAACTGAGAATCTAGTAGGTGGCCTATTTTAGACTTTGCCATTTTTTTGTGTGGTAGGGGATTGTAAAAGCACATGAATTTTGAAAAGGAGGACTAATTTATGTGACTCTTGGAACCACATTAGTTTTGTCAGTTAGAAGGTGGCACGTGGAATGGCGTGTGAGCTAGAAGAATGCCGTGTGCGCATGAGTGCGCCCTGGCTCCATGCGCAGCTGTAGCTGCTGAGTCTAGGCTCCTGCTGGTGTGTACCCTGGGAGGCAGCAGGGATGACCGAAACGGCTGTCTGCCTGCTGTCTGCGTGGAAGACATGGATTCAGTTCTTGACTCCTGGGATAAGCCTAGTCCAGCCCTGGCCACTGTGGGCATTTAAGGAGTGAAGCAGCAGGAAGGAGCTCTCTTTCTGCCTTGCAGTATGTGTGTGTCAGTCTTTGTCTTTTCAAAAGGAATGTTGGCATGTGATAAATTTTGAGCGACGCTTCTTCTGGGATTAATGACTAATTTTAGGCCCACCACACATTTCATGAATGTTTAGGGGAAGTGGAAACCAATTCTCAGGGGGAAAAAAACCAAAGCTTTTTCTTAGCCTCCCACCTTACCTCGCAGCTACCTGCCAGGTCTCCCAAACAGTGGTTTGTTTCCCATTGTTTAATTAGGTTCTGTGGATGTTAGGTGATGAGGAAATGCTATGATGACCCCTTTTCCATTACTTGATGTTGGTTGATACAGTGTGGTAACAGTAATTGGCAACACCCAGTGTAAGTGGTTGAATTGCTGTCGTTAGATTTCCTTGGGTGGCAACCAGTGACATCAGTGTGTGTGATGACCATTGCTGTAAGGATTAAGGAGATATCTTCCTAAAGGCACAGCATACTGCCTGGTTAAGTAACTGTTCAGTAATTGCTTTTTTTTTTTTTTAAGAAAATATTTGAGATATGGGAGCTGGGTGAAGAAAGAGACGATGATGAGAGAGAGACAGATTGGTTCGCTTCTGTTGCTTCACTCTCCACATGCCTGCAGTGAATGGGGCTGAGTCAGGCTGAAGCTGGGTGCCTGGAACAGAATCCAGGTTTCCCATGTGGATGGCAGGAATCTAGTGACCTGAGCCATTGCTGATGCCCTGCAAGCGCCATGTTACCTGGAAGCTGGGCATTGAATCCAGGTACCGTGATACAGGATGCAGGCAGCTTTACCACTAGACCGACTGCCAGCCCTGTTGCTGGTTATTGTTGTGTTTATTATTGTCACCATCTAATGTTTATTGAGCACACGTTTTATGTTAGACATTTGATATGTGTGATCCAGTTTAATCCTCAGAATGTCTGGGACAAGGGAATGGTGGTCACCCTCATGTCACAGATGTTAGGGAAGATGACCATGTGTGTTTGATCTTGACTTACCATCTTGAGATTTGTATTGAGAAGTGAACTTTAAAAAGTAATGTCTTGGACCTTGCACGATGGTGTAGTGGTTAAGGCCCTTGACTTGCACGCTCTGGGATCCCATATGGGCGCTGGTTCTAATCCCAGTGGCCCCGTTTCTCAACCAGCTCCCTGCTTGTGGCCTAGGAAGGCCTTGGGACCCTGCACCCGCATGGGAGACTCAGAGGGGCTCCTGGCTCCTCGCTTCGGATTGGTTTAGCTCCAGCTGTTGTGATCACTTGGGGAGTGAACCATCAGACGGAAAATCTTCCTCTCTGTCTCTCCTCCTCTCTGTATATCTGCCTTTCCAATAAAAGTAAATTAAAAAAAGTAAATAAAAAGTAATATGTCATCGTGGAGATATATTTATTGTGAATTCAGGCAATTTTGGGTTGATTCTCTTTGTAGTGTTTCTTGGGTGGTTGCTGTGGAGAAGGCCCTCTGTTGGGAGACATGATTAGAGGGAAAAGAATTAAGGCTGAGGATCTCTGTGAAATGGGACTGACAAAAGTTTACAGAACAGTATGTTGGATGCAGAGTGGCTGCTCCTCTTCCTGTCCAGCTCTCTGCTGATGGCCTGGGAATGCTGGGGAGGATGGCGCAAGGGCTGGGCGCCTGCACCCACATGGGAGACTCAGAAGAGGCTCCCATCTCCCAGCTTTGGGCCATCCCAGCTCTGGCCTTTGTGGCCACCTGGGGAGTGCATCAGGGAGTGGAAGATCTCAGTCTCTGTCTCTGCTTCTCTCTCTGTAACTCTTTTAAGTAAAAGAAAGAAGTCTCTAATATATATATATATACACATATAAATCTTTTACATATGTTGTATGTATATGCAGTTTAGCGTAGTGTGCTTAACCACAAGCAAACTCATGCAGATAGCCCCCCGCCGGGGGGTTTTCGGCTAGCCTTGGATAGTTTTCTGCTCGACTCCCTGCACCCTCTGCTCTGCATGAAGTTTTGCGGTCCTACAAATACATAAAAGGAAATCACATGTAGCTATCATCATGAAATATTAAGAAGATAACCTTTGAAGAAAACCAGCACTTCCAAGGGACGGGGGGAACCGTTCAAAAGAATGGCAGTTGCCCATCCTGAGGAGGATGTCTGTTTAGTGAACGAAGCAAACTGCTATGAGGAAAGTTCCTGAAGTGCTTCCAAAACACAGGGTTGATGAGGACAGAGTGAAGAATCACTTCAGTGGGCAGGGTGGGACCGGGACGGATATATCTCCTGGCTTGGGAGGTCTCATGGGCAAGTCGAAGATGGCATCCCCAGCACCCAGTTTTTCCTGATAGGAGCAGGTGAGCATCTACTGTGTGTTCTCTGAATGCTTGGGGCAATGCTAAATTTGAGGCCCTGCAGTTTCTCTTGTCTACCATTGATTAAATCTTGAGTCAGCATGATTTTCAAGTATCAAATAATTTTCCAGTTGAAATTACCTAGAACAATTCACTGAAGCAGACATACACACATGAGAGAGAGAGAGAGAGAGAGAGAGAGAGAGAAAGAGAGAGAGAGAGAGAGAAGAAAGCAAGTGAATGTGAGTATGCCTGAGTCAGGTGGTTTACTGCTCAGATGCGTGCAACAGCTGCAGTTAGGACTGAAGCCAGAATCAAGAACTCAGTCCGGGTCTCCCATGAGGGCAGCAGGAACCTGGTCACTGCAGAGGCCGTCACCTGCTGCCTCCCAGGATCTACACTAGCGGGAGTCTGGGGTCAGCAGCAGAGCTGCCTGTCAGACTCAGGCATTCCGGCAGGGGCCACAGATGTCCCGACTGATACCTTAACTGCTTATGCCAGTTGCCCACTCTGGTTAAACCCATTTTCAAATGGTGAGTGTGTTTTCTGCTCACAAGCTCTTTTTCTTAACCCTATAAAACCATATAGTTGCTAGGAGCAGAAGCATGCTGTGATGCAATGATATCCTGTAGTTGTAGGAGGAGCCAGAGCTTGATGTGAAATTGAAAAGGGAGGAGAGGGAGAGGTGGCAGTTGCTGGGTTGCCCAACGGCCAGATCCTGAGGTGGCTGCCCTGGAAACAGATGGTGAAGCAGGCCTTTTGTATCATTGGGTAGGCCTGAGGCTCTGCCGAACCAGCGACAACAAGCAGAATCTTTGAGCTGGCGGAAACAGCATTCCCAGTTGTGTTCTCCATCTTCACAGCAATGGTTCCCCCCTCCCCCGGTCTGCATCCTCACTCTTTGTGTTTTCATGTTTCTGGGCTGTAGGAAATACCTGGTGAGGTTTTGCTGACCCGCCACTTGACTGTCTCCTGAATCCAGCCAGCCAGGGCGGGTAGCGTGCTGCTGTCAGACAACAGTGGCTGGATTTTTGAGGCCTGCTGTTGAAACTGAGCTGTCTGATTATGGGAGGGGTGCTTACTGCACAGCTGCAGACTTTGAAGTCATCTTGTCCTTCGGAAGGGCTAGCAGGGAGCTTGGCAGGGGTCCCTGCTTTGTGTTTGTCTCTGCTGTAAGCATCTTCTTCCTATGATGACAGAGGTTACTGTCTTCCCGTTACAGATTGAAGAAACTCGGCTCAACATCGACAAGATCGCAGAGCACGTGGAGGAGGCCAAGAAACTCTACAGCATCATTCTGTCTGCGCCCATTCCGGAGCCCAGTGAGTGCTGACTCGGGCGGGGCTCCCAGCAGTGGCCCTGTGCCTGGAGGCAGAGCTGGGCTTTTGCTCCCCTCTGTGTGTGACCGTCACATTGCACCAGTGTGCGTGTCACACATCCCTGTGTTTCTTCTCGCTTCCCGGATCTCCCACCGCCTGCCCAGCTGTCGTCGGCTCTTCTCTTCATGGATATACGCAAAGCAAATCTTGCTCTCCCTCGCGGCTTGGCCCGGTTGAATAGCAGTGATCTCGCTGCTTCTCACACCCCCACGCCCTGTTTCACCTCTACATCTTTGCTTGTGCTGTTCCCCCTGCCTGAGGTTCTTTTCCCAGAGCCCTTCCCAACCCTACCAGGTCAAATCTTTCTTTTCCCTCATGAAGTATTCTAACGTGGTTCAAATTCACAAGAGTCCTTCTCTTCCCAAGCTCCTGTTTGTTGCCACCATTAAGGAAAACGTCCTGCTCCCCCTAGTTGTTCAATGATTTTAGCGCAGGGCTTAGAGTTACAGTTTTGGTTCCTCAGTAGGAATTCACTCTTGCTTTTTTCAGTGGCTTTCTAGAACCTAGTGATGAAAGTTGGTACGTTTCAGCAGAGCATATCCACACTTTCCCTGGTCATGTCTGTGGCTTTCTCTCTATTCTGTTTTCTGCCACCCCCACCCATTCTTCCTGTCTGTATTTTAATCAGACTAAACTTTGGCTATTTCCCAAATATGTTTTTTTTTTCCACCTCTTAGTTTTTTGTCTTATTCCCTGTCCACATTCTGCTCTTAGTCTCTTTCTCCACAGTAGTTAACACTTTATGCCCTACTGAGCCAGTCCCTGGTTAACTCTTTGTCCCCCACAGAGCCAGTCTTCCCAAGCTCTGCTGAGGAGCCGCTCCTGCCACCCTGAGCACACCCTCACCAGAAACCTCACTCAACTCCCTAGCTCACGTTAGAACTGCTGACTCACTTCTCCGCTGTTCTGTTTGCTGCTCTCCAGCAGACTGAGCACCTTGCAGACAAGTTCTGTGTACCGTTTCACCGATTTCTTAGTTTGTAGCTAAGTTCCAAGCTTGTAGTGAGAGCTGAAAGGTTTTTAAAATAGCAGGAAGCAGGAATTGGGAGCAGAGCTGGGAGTCAGACCCAGGTACTCTGGTAAGAAACGTGGGCCTTCCAAGCAGTAGCCTAGCCATTATGCCAAAGGCCCACCCCTAAAATATATATTTTTTTCTTTTCAAAAAGTTAATTTGAAGGTCAGAATTGTACAAAAAGGAGGAGAGATACACATAGAGAGAATTCTCTCTCTGCTGGTTTACACCCATATGGTCAAAACAGCTGGACCTGGGCCATGCTGAAGCCAGGAACCCGGAGCTTGCTCTGGGTCTCCCACATGTGCAGGGCCTCAGACGCTTGTGTGTTCCTCTGCTGCGTTCCCAGGCACACTCCCAGGGAGCTGGATTAGAAGCAGGACAGCTGGACTTGAACTGGTACCTGTGTGAGATGCTGGCAGAGGTTTAATCCACTATGCCACAATGCCAGATCCCCCAAATGGTATTTGAATCAGTACTGCTAGCTAGTTACTATTCTGTTCTATTCACCACAGGAAAGTTTTAGGCGTTCAGTAGATATGTCATAAGTACTAGTGGCTCATTTTGTGTTAATGAGACTTAGTTGAAATTTCTTTTCTTTAGACGTTCCACAGAACCCTCTCAGGCCTTCTAAATAAAGCCTTTATGGTAAGCCAGATTATTTCTTCTAAAAGCAAGGTTCTTAGCTTTTTTTGTGTGCTGGACAATTTCTTTAAAGGGAAGATTTTAAGTCTCCTATACATATACATATGTGTGTGTGTATGTATGTATTTTTTTTCTTTAGGTCTTGGACAGGCTGCCTAGAAAATACCATTTAAAAATAGGCTCTCTGGGGTCAGCACAGTGGCTTAAGGCTGATCTTCCACCTGCAGCATTGGCATCCCATGTGGATGACGATTTGAATTCTAGCTGCTCCACTTCTGATCCAGCTCCCTGCCTATGGCCTGGAAGGGCAGTGCAGGATGGCTCAGGTCCTTTGGCCTTGTAATGATGTGGGAGACCTGGAAGAAGCTTCTGGCTCCTGGCTTCAGATCAGATTACCTCTGACTGTTGCTGCCACCTGAGGATGAACTAGTGAATGGAAAATTTCTTTCTCTGTAACTCTGCCTCTCAAATAAATATGAATAAATCTCAAAAACAAGTGCAAATTAAAAAAATTTCAAAAAACCTGTGATACTGTCGACAAGGTCTGGGGAGCACACTGGGATTGGTTCTGCTCTGGGTGACAGGAGCCTGAGCAGGTACGCCGTACCCGCTGCTGATCAGTGGGCCTGCCAGAGCAGCTGATCTGTTCATTGGTGACGCCTGCCTCCTTTGCTTTTCTAGAAACCAAGGATGACCTAGAACAGCTCACAACCGAGATCAAGAAAAGAGCCAACAATGTCCGGAACAAGCTGAAGAGTAAGCAAGGGACCAGGGGAACAAGGCAACCCTGCCCACCCTCTGTGTCAGCCCCCCGGGGCCAGCTGGAAACTCAGCTTGGTGGAAGCAACACCACGTGTTCTGTCTTTGCTCATGGCTTGGCGCTCTCCCTGCAGTGGCGATTTTGTAGCCGCAGCTGTTTACTGTTCCTTCTATGCTAATTGTAGTTAGGAGTCTAGAATTTAGAAAATGAGAAGGAGTTGTGCAACTTGCTCCTTTAGCATAGTCCTCAACCTTTTGTTTACTGTTCCTATTTTCCTAGCTCCTACATGGGTTTGACATAACTGAAAGGTACATTATTCAGTTTACAACTGTTTCATAGTGGGACAGGTATATTATGCAATTGCCACCTCCTTTCCTCCAGCATGTTAGTGCATGGCTCATGCATTCAGTTTTCCTGGAGTCCCAAAAGCTTACATAATTCCATCTGTGGTATATGCGATGTTGCCCAATATGTTTGGTCAATACAAGCTGTTGGAACACAATTTGTTATTTTCATTGGGCGTGGGAAGTGTTGCAAGGTGCAGCTTTGAGTTGTGACGACTTAGCACTCTGTGGGAGTGGCAGCATGAAGATCTGAGCCTGACTCTATTGATGACCAAGGCCCATGGTGGTAACCAACATGGCGAGCCCTGTTGAAGAGGGCTCACGTTTGAGACTGCACTCACCTGGTGTTACCCCTTGTGGGCTGCCAGTGTGAGAATGCCTGGAGGTTTGCCATTGGGCTGTGTGTTTCTTGGAATGAGGAACAGATGTGTTGCTGGAATCACCTCCCTTCCCTTTGCAGGCATGGAGAGGCACATTGAAGATGATGAGGTTCGTTCATCAGCCGACCTTCGGATTCGGAAATCTCAGGTAAGGTCTTCCCTGGTCCAGAGAACATCTACTGCAATCTTGTGGAACAAGAAGTGGGAGACTGGTCCATCTTTAGTTTAGTGGGCTTTTTTTTGTTGTTGTTGTTGTTGTTTTGGCTTTAATTTTGATCTGAATTTACATGGCAGTAGTAGGTTAAAAAAAAGTGTAAATATTGTGTTGCTTTTGCAGAGAAGAATCGAGTAGGGTCAGTGCTAAACGTGGGCAATGGATAAAATGTATGAAGGTTTGATCTTAGGCATTCAGAGCTGTTGAGTTTGTACATCCATTTGTGAGCTGGAGAAGTTGAGATCAGTTAGGGTAAGGCTCAAGGGTCTTTATAGTTGCTCCATGTGGAAAGAGAGACTGACATCTGTAGAAGGCAAGGCTAGTGGGTGCGAGGCTTGGAGGGTTCTAGAAACAATCTCTTTGGGTCACATGATTGCTCTATGAAGTCATCAGGACAGATAAACAGGTGCTGAGACCATGTTTTAGAAAGGACAGTGTACTCTATCAGTGACACAAGACTGAAAAACCAAGAATCTGCTTCTTACTCGTGTTTTGATTGTGAGTATAGACTGCTGTTGACCAAACCACATATGTTGGGGGAGATCTGTGATGTCATAGATTCCTCACTGCCCCCTGCTTCCTCTGAGCTTACTGCTCCTTCCATTGGCCCCACAGCACTCTGTCCTCTCTCGGAAGTTTGTGGAGGTGATGACCAAATACAACGAAGCTCAGGTGGACTTTCGTGAACGCAGCAAAGGCCGGATCCAGCGGCAGCTCGAAATCAGTACGTGCTTGAGGCTGGGCGTGTGCTGCTCCACCTCTTCCTGCCCTGTGGTTGTCCATCTCCGATTGTGAGACCTCGGGAGAACAGGCAGCAGCTCTTCTGGGGCTTCTGTGTACTTATTCTGTGCCCAGGCCCAGAGTGGAGGTTGTAGCTGTGCATGTTCTAAATGCTACATCTTGGGCAGAAAGGTGGCTGGCAAGGTGCTTCGCTGTGTTTTTTTTTTTTCCCATGGGATGTGGCATTTCCTCACACTTAGAAGGGAAACATTTTCTAAATGATTGCTGTATTTCAGTACCTCTCCTTTCCTGTGTATTTAGTCGAAAAGCACATTTGTGAAATACAAGGCATGGTGCTAGCTTCTGGGAGGAATAAAGAAGTGGATAAAGCCGTGGCCTTGAGGAATTTTGTGATGTGGAAAGCACGGCTCTGTAGGGCAGAACATGCTCCAAGTGGGAGGGAGTGTATGAGCTAGCACGTCATCAAGAAAAACAAGTTTGCTTGAGTGACACATTTTCCAGGGTCTGGGAAGGAGATATGTTTGGAATAGCAGTGACTGGTTAAGATGGAACATAGGGGGCTTGCCCCAGCCCCAGAATAGTCATGAGGACCTTGGCTCCTGTGGTATTGTGAATGAAGCTATGAATGTTCTGAGCTGGGGTACCATGTAATCAGATATGGGGTTTGGAGTTAACTTCTGATGATATCAAGGGTGGATTGGTTAGGGGAAAAATCAGAAACTAGATACATTGGGATGCTTTTGGGGAGGGGTGTAGAGCCCTTGGTCTTTATAGGGAAAGTCCTTATCCCTAGTCTTCTGAGAACATTACAAATGGTGCTTGGTTCTTTGGTCTTCATCTTTGTTGCTTTACTTCTTTTACTATTAAGCTGGTAAAAAGACAACAGATGAGGAACTGGAAGAGATGCTGGAAAGTGGCAACCCAGCCATCTTCACTTCTGGGGTGAGTATCCCAGGTGTGGGTCTGGTACTCCCCTCTCATGGCCCCGGAGACCTCTCTGGAGCGTCCCGTGAGCTTGGCAGTTGCAGGCAGCTTGGGAGGTGAGGCTCATCTGGAGTGTGTGCTGTGGGAGTCACTGGTGGCCTGTGTGTGGCCTGTTGTAGATCATTGACTCCCAGATTTCCAAACAAGCCCTCAGCGAGATTGAGGGTCGGCACAAGGACATTGTGCGGCTGGAGAGCAGCATCAAGGAGCTGCACGACATGTTCATGGACATCGCCATGCTGGTAGAGAATCAGGTAAGTGGCGGCAGGGTCAGTGTGGGGAGGGCAGAGAGGAGGGAGGCCTGGAGGCCAGTGAGGTTTCGGGGGAACCCATGGGAGATGTGCATAATGGAGTAACAGTTCCAGTTTCCCAGGGAGATGGGGGAATTCTTACGACAAGCTGACCTTCGGGGGATCTCAGTCTTGTCATTCTTGCCTGTGACTTTGACCTCATAGCCATTGCGAGATAATACAGGGTTTGATGTGCTTTGCCAAGTGCTTAGTTCCCCAACCCTCAGGATTTTTTGTTTGTTTCTTCTTTATTTTTTAAAATATTTATTTATTTAGCATGAGTTACAGAGAGAAAGAGACAGAGAGGTCTTCCATCTGCTCATTCATTCCCCAGATGGCCACAATGGCCCGAGCTAAATTGATCTGAATTGTGAGCCAGGAGCTTTTTCCAGGTCTCCCCAGTGGGTGCAGGGAGCCAGGGACGAGGACCATCTCCACTGTTTTCCCAGGCCATTAGCAGGGAGTTAGATGGGAAGTGGAGAAGCCAGGGTTAGAATTGGCACCCATATAGGATGCAGGCCCTGCAGGTAGAGGATTAGCAGCCCCACTTTCTTTTATTCTTCAGAGAGATGAGTTCACAATGATGATGCCTTGAAAAAGTCTCTGCATGTGAACTGTCAGTGATGACACTGACACCTGTGAGTTTTTCCCTCCATTTCACTGTGGACATTTACCAGGTTTTTTTCCCTCCATTTTTATATTTTTACTTATATGTGTTTTTCTAGGGATCATGGTACTTTTTATTAAAGAAAAACAGCAGTCAGCAACATGAATGGAGGACTAGTAAAATATTGACAGACCCTTGAAATGCTGATGGTGCAGTTTGAAAGCTTGCTTTGTCCCCAGCATGCTTGCTCAGGGATGCAACTCTAAGTCACCTGTGTGTTTGGCACTACTTTTACACAGTCAGACAGCCCCCATTGCTAGGTCACAGATCTTCACACTGTGCCACAGTCACCATAACTTCCAGCTGCTATGCTGCCTGGGTGGAATTGAGGAGCCTCCTTAGCAGCTAGGCTGTCACACCTAGTTGAAGTCCACATCCACACAGTGCTTGACTGGTGTAATGTTGTCTCCTGGCCCAGAGCCTGGATGCCTCTCCTTGTCACCCTTAAGACCTTTGAGCCTGTTTCTGTCCCTTGGTCCCCACTCTTCTTTTTCCTTCCCCATACTGCCTTGCCGAGGAACTGGTCTGAGATTCAAATGGTGGTAAGTACCTTGCTGTCTTTGCAGACTACCACAGAGTCGTTGGGGAAGGTCTGGGCAGGTGATCCGCCATCCTAAGATGCCTAGGGAATTAAGTGCAGTGATCAAATCTCCCTTTCAGGGAGCGACATCTGAGAAATGCTTGGGTGTCTTATTCTGAGACCACCGTGTGGAGGAGCAGAGAAGGCCCAGTAGCTTGGGGAAAGAAACCAAGAGTCCGCCACTTAAAGAGCTTGGGGACATCTCTTAGAGGAAGCGAATGTTCCCAACCTCACATACTGAGCATGTGCTGCATGTCAGGTATTAGTTTACAGTAGTGAACAAACTCATCTCAGCCCGAATCAGCTTGGTTTACCTCCTGGTGATCTGAGTCTGCAGTATCCTAAAAACATAAGATATGATTATTTGAGCTCATCTCCATGTACTTAAAAAAAAACAAAAAACAAAACAAAACTGGGAGTGTATGTGTGTGTTTACTTAGTACGCATTTAGGAAGTAGGTGCCGAGTGCCCTGCACAGTGCTGCTTACAAAGAAGTAATTCAGTGAATGTTTCTTGGATGGATGGTCACCTCCAAGGGCTAGGAAGCCAGAGATAATGAAGCATTTGCAATGTGCCTTATAGGAGGCTGTGCCTCAGAGTTTCTGTAATGTTCCTATTAGTACTGAAGATTATAAGAGCACCCTTCCCCACCTGTGCCAGGGCTGTGTTCTGGCAGTGGGTTTATTGGATGTGACTAATGTTTGTTTTTTGCAGGGTGAGATGTTAGATAACATAGAGTTGAATGTCATGCACACAGTGGACCATGTGGAGAAGGCCCGCGATGAAACTAAAAGAGCTGTGAAATACAAGGGTCAGGCCCGGAAGGTGAGGCTCGCTCTCTGCTTTCAAGGAAGAGAGTCCATGTGGTTTGCTGTCTCTTGCCTTTTCTCTTCCCTCTCTCTATCTGCGTTTGCGCTGCCACCACTTCTCGCATCGGGGGAAAGGGAGCCATGATTGACCGTATTGAGAACAACATGGACCAGTCAGTGGGCTTTGTGGAGCGGGCCGTGGCAGATACCAAAAAGGCGGTGAAGTATCAGAGTGAAGCCCGGAGGGTGAGCCCTTTCTTCTCAGCTACTCTCGTTTCTCCTCCCTGTGTCCTTGAGCCCACGCCTTCTCTGTCCTGGCTGTGTCCAACCCCCTCCGTAGTCTGACCTAGAGACTAGCTGCCCACCCTTGCTTCCTGCACGTGCCTCGTATGGATCTGGCTCATGTGCACTTGGCCCAGGTACCCACACTTGAATGGCAGTTCTGTAGCATGGCTGCATGGCTCGGCTGTTTCTGCCGTCTCCTGCATGTAGCTGATGAGATCCTGTCTCCAGAAACCTTTAACACCATTGTCTTTCACTTACGTAGCTCAAGTCCTGCCTCCATTTCTCTTTTTCTCCGCCTTGTACCTTCACTAGCTCTTATTTCTGGAGCATCTGTCTTTGTATTCTGTAGCTGAAACAGTTGAGGGTCAGAGATGAGGTGACTGAGTTCAGGCCGGCCATCCAGTAAGTAGAGGGTCTGAGATTTAAAATCAGATCCCAGTCTGTTACACTGTTGTATTTGTTCACTCTTCCTGCTTGTTTGAGGACTTCTAAGCTTCTCTAACTCATTGACTCTGGGTATTCAGCTCCGATGGCTTCTGCTTTTTAAACTGCTCTTCTTGGACTCTCTCTTGAGCTCTGATCTCTTTGTTCTTCAGTTCTGTGTTTTTCTTCTAGCTTTACCTATTGCTTATGCAGGGATCTGGGAGCTGGAAAATTATTGTGAATGAGGAATCCTGGCTGGATTCTACTTTCTGACACTGTTTCCAGTCACTGTCCTTCTGTTTGCTGTAGCCCTGGTCTGATGGTCAGGGCTATCGGGGACAGACAGTAGCTAGAAATTAAGACAATATCAAACACATCTCTAACTTTTCCTTTCAAAAAGGGAAAAGGTTATTTTGGTCAGTTACTGCATAGGTGCCACAATAGTGGACTTTACTGTAGCGGTGACTTAGCAAAGTGCAGTGTGGAAGCATCACATTTGTGTCTGCTGTCATTGCTAACTAAGAAGTAACTGAATAAATGCAAAACATCCTAAAAGAATGTCTTTATGCAGAGATGTTAGACTCTTATTTGGAAATATAAGATGCTTTCTTGCTAGGAATAAGAGAAGTTGGGTTTTGGATGAATTATTTTTAATTCTAATGATTTGGTTTTATTTGTCTTGTTCTTCTCTCCAGAAAATGATAATTATCATTGTGATAGTAGTTGTGTTGCTGGGCATTTTAGCATTGATTATTGGACTTTCTGTTGCACTGAAATGAGAATGGCCTAAGGGGCTGCTGCATTGAAATGTAAGTAAACGAATGCTTCTCTTGGGGACTCTGGATTGACTTTTGGAGGGAATTAGGCTTGTATTTCAAATTCTACTTCTGTCCTCTTATGATTATCTTTGGAAATACTGAACTACCCTCAAACTTTTGGTAGCTTGTAGAGTTTTTTCATCTCCTTAATTTTTTTTTTTTAATATTTGTTTGTTTGGAAGGCAGAGTGAGTGGGAGCATTTTCCATCTACTGGTTCATGCCCTACATGGCCACAGTGGCTGGAGTTGAGTCAGGCCAATCAGGAGCCTTGGGCTCCTTCTGTCTTTCACATGGGTGGCAAGGGCCCTATGACTTGGGCCATCTGCTGCTTTCCCATGTGTATTAGGGAGCTGGATGGGAAGTGGAGCCAGCTAGAACATTGGACTGGTGCTCATATGGAATGCTGGTATTGCAGATGGCAGCTTCAACTGCTCTGCTCCAGTCTGATCCCTCTATTCTATCTTGACTCTGGCTGCAGTACTGCATCTTGTGTTTGTTCCTGTTTTGTGATTTTTTTTTTCCCTTGCTCTCTATCAGTCCTGCGTTTCACCTTGTCTCCTACCAGACCCGAGTACCCCATCTTAAGTCCACCTGGGAATAGTAGGCAGGTCCTGGGAATGGTCTGCGTCTCAGATGTGGCGCGTCTTGTGAATTCTTACCAACTCTCATGGGTGTAGAGCTTTGTTTTCTGCATCCTTTTCAGTGTGGATTCTAGTGTTGTTAGGACTATCTGCTGGATCCTGCATGGCCTAACAGCTGATACTTTTGGGTGCTGAGTTTGTGCCAAATAATGTTCTAAACACCTTATATACATCGTACTGAATCCTCACAATACTGTTGTGAGATAAAGTTAGTGGCATTAGCATTATGTACTTTCTACAGATAAGGAAACTTATAGAACTTATAAGTAACAGAGACAAGTTCACATAGCTTTTGGTAGAGCTAGGGTTTTTTTTTTTTTAAATTGTGTCTTAATGTCTTCTTGTCAAACAAGATAGTTGATTAGTATTGTCTATAAAGTCTAAGAGACCTTGGAGAGTAATGGCTTTAAAATGTAGGCTATTGATTATCTTAAACTTTGTTAGGAATGCTGAATCAAGTTAATAGTGGCACGACAGGAGGCATCATTATTAGCTGCACTAAGACGACTTTTGTAACTTCTTAAACTACTTTATTTCAGTGTAATAGAGCATGTATTATTAATAAAATGGCCTAGAAATAACAAAAAAAGTAAACCTTTAGTATTATTGCTGCTAACGCCTCAACATGTTATATACTCCGTTTCATGTTGTACAAACTACATTCATAATTTTATATCCAGCTACAAAACCTTAAACAGTAGTCTGTGTCATTAAACTCTGTGAAACTAATTTCCATTTTAAAAGATTATTTATTTGAAAGATTAGTTAGTTTATTTGATAACTTATTTATGCCAGAGAGAGTGAGAAGGGTAGAAGGGTAGAGAAGTAGAGAGAATGATACTAAGTGAGTGACCTTCCAACTGTTGAGTCACTCGTCACGGGCTGGTCTGGACCAGGCCAAAGCCAGGAACTCTGTCCAGGTCTTTATATTGGTGGCAGGTGTCCACATACTTGGGTCATCTTATACTGCTTTTGCAAGGATCAGGGAGCTAATTGGAAATGGAGCAGCCAGAACTCTAAGCAGTACTCAAACATGGAATGCCCATGTTATAAGTGGTATCTTACACTACTATGTCACAATGATGGCCCCACAGAAAGCTGATTTTCAACATGAGATTGTGGATATGCTCTCAAGTACTTAATAGTTCCCCAGTGTGAAGGTTTCTGGTTTTTGTTTGTTTGTTGTTTAACTGTCTAACCTTGTATATTTTTCCATTTTAACTTTTATCATAACTACAAATTGGAGTTGGATTACTGAGGTAAAACATAATATTTTAAAGACCTGATGCAGAGTTTTGATCTTTTATTTTATTTTTGGTCCATTGTGTTTCTTCTTCCTTCCATGTGACAGAATCTGAAAAGGTTTATTTCTGTATTTTATTTAGTATTAAGCATTTGATTTTGAGAGATGAGCAACAAATATGTGGTCGGTCATTATAGGCAGTTAATTGGTCAGTTCTCCTTTGTCATGGCATTTGAATTTTGTTTGTAAAATCAGTTTTGTTGTGACACTAGAATTTAACATTTTAAAAGTGTAGTATATTTCAATACTCTTGGATGAAAGATTTCTCACCAATTCATGGTGTCTCTAACCATTCCCATTTAAAGATTTGTTTTGACTTGAAAACCAGATTTATAAAGAGAGACAGAAAGAGTGATCTTGTATCTGCTGGTTCACTCCTCAATGGCCAGAGCTGGGAAGAACTGAAGCCAAGAGCCAGGAGCTTCTTTGGGTCTCCCACATGGGTGCAGAACCATCCTCTGCTGCATTCCCCGGCCATCAGCAGGAAGCTGGAATGGAGGTGGGGCAGCCAAGACTCTAGAACTGGTACCCGTAAGGGATTTTGACACTTGTAGGTGGAGGATTAGTTTGCCATGTCTTGGCATCAGCCCAGCAGCCCACCATTCCCAGTTTTAAGAATTCAGAATTTAACTGATTTTTGAGGAGGTGACTAACTTGATCTCTAAGACAATAAAGTTCCTGAATGCAAAGAAGCTCAGCATGATGTATTCCATATCCCTTAGTAATGCCAAGACTGACTTTTGTCTCCTGGGTCAAGACAGCCGTCTCCCTCTGTGTACTTATGGGAGAGAGAGGTCTCTGGGCAAGACGGAAGCTAGGAGACCCGTGTGTACACTGCTCAGTTACCTGTGGCGACTGCTCTAGGATAGCATCGTTCTCACAGTGTGTGGAACTGGGGGACTTTAAGTAAAATAAACCAGAGACAAAGGCAGAAACTGCATGTTCTCCCTCACAGCTGGGAGCTAAAAACTCCAACAGATGGGGAAGGTCTTTGAATCTCTAGAATTAAGAAACTTGCCCAAGCTGATGTGCCCTCTAAGTTGGGGCAACCATAGTAAGACTCCTGAGCTTTTCCATATTCTTTTCTTGTGTCTTTTTCTGAAAGAAGGGGAATTGGGGGGGGGGGCTCATGAGAGAGATTCGAGCCCCAGAAAGCTTTGAAGCCTGCATTCAAGAGGTGCTGCCGAGGACAGGGCATTGTAAGCAGTGATTGTGCCTTCCCTGGAATGTTCTTCCATGGCTATGTGGCAGCTGTGGGAAGGCTTACAGAAGGTCTGGAGAGGTGTGCATTTTTTCTTCCTTTTAACTTCATAAGAGGGCCTTTTGTTCTTTGTACAATGGAATATTTTGTTGCAGCTGCTGCCTTGGTTTTGTCTGATTTTTCAGGCCATGTTGCCTTCTCCAGTGTTCTTTTGCAGTTACTTCTCTCCTTTCCACCTGCTGGCCTTGTGGCCAAGTCCTCCTGCACTGATCAGCAAACTCCTCTCCCTGCTTCCCTTAGAGCCTGTGTCACTCCAGCCTGGCATGGCCACCCTGTCTGCAGATGGGAACGGGCGTTTGAATGGCCTTCCTGAGAACGAGTGGGATCTGTTCCTTTGTTTCCTTGTAAGGATCCCTGGACCTGACTCAGCAAACCGTCTACTCCTGGAGGAGCCTCACCTGCCTGAAGCAACCCTGAGTTTTCCTCAGAAGCACCTGCTGCCCCACCAGATCGCAAGTGCCTTTCTCCTGGACCATACGAACCAGGCAGCTTGGGTGTGCCGAATTATGCCTTGCCCCTTAGAGAGCCCAGGCTGACCCTGTGGTGGTGCTGTATGTTCTACCTCATGGAGTAGTCTCCTAGAAATTTCAATGTGTGTGTGTGTGTGTGTGTGTGTGTGTGTGTGTGTGTGTGTGTGTGTGTGTGTGTGTGTGTGTGTGTGTGTGTGTGTGTGTGTGTGTGTGTGTGTTTTAAGGAGAGTATCTTTAACATAGAAGAGGGGTTCTCAGTTTGGAGAACATAGGCTTGGATCTGAGTCATCTGATGCCAGCGTCCACTTTGTGGTCCCTATGTCTCAACACTCAGGGACTGCCAGATACTAATTTGGTCTGGGGAGCTAATCTGTTTGAAATTCTTATATTCAGTTTGGGGCCAACTTTACTCTTTCTATGTATTGGATTCTCATGTCTACCAAGGAAGGCTCAGGACATGGTGGTCATGTGCAGCTGTCATTGGTGGAGGCTGAGAGCCTGGGATATTTGTTTTTATGTCTGAGATTTGGAGACTCCTATTAGAGACTGATGCTTTGTGAAGCCACTGCCTCGAGGCTAAAAATCACCAGGGATTTCAAATTGGGCCAGGGACAAGGTGCTCGAGTCTCAGGCACTCTGGAACTGTTTCATGAGACTGGTCTGTCACTTTATGTGGTCACACATGTTCCAGAATCATATTTATAACTGTGTGTGAAATGTATGTGCATGTATGTGTATGTGTCTCAGAAAGCAGGAAACTAGAAGTGAAAGATATTATGAACTCCCCACACTCAAACCCCAGAAAATTTGGCTAAAAATTACTGCCAGTTAGTCACTATAGGAATATAATCTTCCCATGTTCCCGGGAAGCTTGCTTTTAGGTGAGGAACGGGAGATGCAGATGAGAGCTTTGGAGACTAGTCCCTGCTGAGTTTGTCTGCATGGCAGAGAGCGGGTGTCATATTTTGACATCTCTGCTTACCTGCTGTTATCCCATGGTAAATTGATATCATCCATCACCTGTTGGAGCTCTGCAGGATTGACTCAGTTGGGAAAGACCAGTGACTGAAGAGCAGGTTTTTCTTACTGTTGGGTTAATGAACTAGACAGCTGGAGTTCCCCCCTCCCCCCACACGGACGAAACAATAGCCAGGATATTTCTAGTGTCTAGCTCAACGGTAAACTCGTGAGAATCCCTGTCGGCATTGGGCAGCCTCTCTGGTTGAGTGGACCAGCTTTATTTCAGCTTTCCAGGTTAGTGAGCACCCCAGTCCAGGTGCTGCCCCTTAGCTTGCTTTGCAAACGGTAATCACTCCCAGTCATCATCGGGCACTCAGACAGAGCCAAGGGCTTGCCCCATTGCCCGTGGTTATGATGTCAAATAGAGGACTGCCTCCAGCAACAAGGGAAATGAACTTTAATCATAGGCCTCCACTGTCTGTGAATGAGGCCTTGGGCTTACAGCATGTGAAGGCTTTTTTTTTTTTGGTTGTTTATAATTTAAAAAAATGTAAACAATTATTTTATTGCTAATTTAAAAATAAATGACTTTGTATTGATTGTCAAAGTTCTGGCTCTGCCTTCCTTCAAAACAGTGATTTGGTGCCACCATGTGGCAGATTTTTGTCCAGGTTTTGGAATAGGGCGAAGGTCTTTCTTGACTTTGGTTCGTAACATCAGATTTAACTTCCCAAGCATATGAGATAAATGAATCTGGATTTTAGGTTTGAAGTGCTATCTCCAAAAGAATTGTTCCTCATTGACAATATCTAGCTCTAGGGGGGATATTTCTTATGATGTTATCTGAAAGGCAGAATCTTACACTAAACATCCTCAGAGTCTTGGGTCTCTTGCCAGGAGGTACTGTATCTGTTAACGCTGGGTTCAGGAAGCCAGATCCATCATCTTCCTGTGGCTCTCCCTTTCCACACCCGGGTGCGCTTGTCTTGCTTCCCTCAGAACTCAGCGCCTGTACAGTCATGTTTCTCACACGCCTTTCCTTTTCCTGAACAGAAGAAGATCATGATCATGATCTGCTGTATAATCCTTGTGATCATCTTAGCCTCCACCATCGGGGGCATATTTGCCTGAACGAGGTGAGCCGTCTGTAGGGAGGGCCAGGCCCGCTGTTAGCTGAAACACTTTTGTCCTGGGAGTTTTTTTCTTTCTTGTTTTGGTCACCTGGTGCCTGAACTTGGGTTGGGATTAGGTGGTAGTATGGACCCAAGTTGGGACCTTAGAAAAATAGAAGGGAAGGTGTGCCATCTCCTAGAAAAATAAGCAAAGAATGAGGGGGCAGTAAGTAGTGGGCTGTCGGGGAGGAGACACAAGGCAGAAGTCTGTGCCACAAGTAGGCCTAGTTGCAGAATACGTTGTACAAATTAAGGAAAATTGATTTCTGCTGCAAAATTGGAGACTTGGCACTAGGAATGATAAAAGGATTAGGAGTTAGCTTTGGTATCAGATACACGTGAACGCTAGACAAGGTCATAGAGTAAACCTGAACTAAGAAAATGCCTTCCTTTTCAAGGATAGGCCGAGTTAGTGCAGACTTGTGAGTAGTCCTTTATTCCTGTCGGAGAAGCTGCTGACCCTGGCCATGAACACTGTGCTTTATAATCTGTGATTTTTTTTCTTCCGCCATTCTTATCTCCTTCAGCCCTCACAGCTGGACCCTCGCTGGCCAGTTCTAACCCTTCCACCTCGGTGGCGCTGTCACTTCTCCATAGCAGTCTCCTCATCCACTTCTCTTCCCATTACAAGACTTATGACACAGGGCGCCACTCAACTATTCATTCAAGTTATGCAAAGGGAGATCGTGAAAAGTGCGGTTGGATAGGGGGGGTGGAGGGCAGAGGGCAGAGGGGAGCAGGGAGCAGAACAACCTACAGCTGGTGGGGCGGAAGGGCAGGCCTGCAGGGCTAGAGAAGGAAAGCATAATGGTGCCCACTGGGAAGTAAAACTTAAAAGGCTGCATCACCACCAGGCGGACAAGAGGCCACTATCACAGCACACCATGTTTGGCAGGAGCTTTGAACTTCTGTGAGTTATCAGGCTTCTTGTACCAGCCCATCTGCTTCCTTCTCAAGGGCCCAAAAGTACTCTTCACTGTGAAAGCGATCTAAGACTGCACACCATGCTTGTATTGTCCACTGCTCAGCACAGCGCCAGGCACTCACAGATCCAATTCCCATGAGGAAGCTCTGCTTTCACTCACACGCAAGTCCTTGGCTGTGACTCTAACACTGTGAAAAGCATCAGTGGACACAGTTTGACCACCAACAGAGGCTCTGTGAAGTGGCCTGGGAACCAGCGGAGTCACCCTTTTAACCACTATGGGTGGTGATGGAGTGGTGCTGCATCCAGGGCCAAGACTGCATTGAGGAACTAAACAGAAACCATTCAAAAGAAGCTGGATTATACTACACAGTGACTGAACTCCCAAGACGTGACACACACACCGGGGACCACAGCAAGGGATGGGTGATGTTAGATGGGAAAGGTGGAATAAGGCTGTCGCCTACTTCACTTCTCATCCGTGTTAACCGGAACTGTTGGCCAGTGGTGCACGTGCAAGAAACTTCAGTGTTCCCTACTCAAGGTTCAGCTGTTTTCACCTTTAAACCAGCCATATGAGCAAGACTTGGAACAGAAGTCATTTCAGTGATTAATTATATATAGGAGGCTCACTAAAAATACGTTAAAAATTACAATGGTACAATTCTAAAAAGACTACTTAACTATTTAGGTAAATGATTTTTCAAGTAAATTCTTATTTTCTCTGGAGCTTTTTTAGGAAAGTGGGATTAAGTAATTAGATGTTTCATCATGGTGCCATTTCCTACCTACTTTCAAAAGAAACTGGTTTAATATCTATCAATTTATTTCCCTTAGTTTGAATATGGGATAGAAGACTACTGCTGTTTGAAAGACTGGTTAGTCTTGTTAAAAGGAAGCAGATGGTGCCCCATCCACCCAACAGCAGTCAGCTGCGTGCTGCTCGGCACTGCTCTGGACCCTGCAGGTGCACCGATCAGAGCCAGACACTCCCTCCTGGAGGATTTCAGGGCCTAACAGGCACCACACAGTTTCAACTTTTGTTACCAGATCCTTTTGTTAAAAGATATTCGATTCTTGTCATTGTCAGTATTTCCCTTTCCAAGACTGAGCGATGGGTTTGTTGGCATCAATAAATACTTGTTCAATAAACGAACTGACGTACTTTTTTTCCCTAAAGCTTTTTATTTGTAACTAGTGTGGAAGCCAGGTCTTCCCGAAGTGTATCTGTATGAGAGGTAAGGTGTGGGATGCTAACCTTTGCTCAAGTCCTGCTGAGGACACCTGTGCCCTTGCTAGCTGGAATAGGGGACAGAGGACTGCTGCTGGCAGGCTGTGAAACACTGGTTAAGCTTGGTAAGCCTATGAGGGAGCTGGAACCAATCAAACAGACCTCTCTCTTACTCGTTTAAGGGACCAGCAGTTTCTAGTGAGAGTTACATCCTGAGGTGATGCTCAAACTTTAACGTACTAAAAAAAAATGAACACCTGAGTTTTTCAGAAGCCATCTATGCATATGCCAATACTCAGTTACGACAGAAGAGCTACCCTAAGGCTTTAAGGGAAGGCTGAGGGAAATGAAAACAGAGCTTCCTTCTTTCAGTAGCCTGTGTATTTTTATTCCTCATGCTCGCACTACACACGATTGGGCAGGTAAAACTTGCCCCAGTAGCGCCCCTTCTGGGTCAGGTCATAAGGGCTCAGGTATTTGCGTATCCCCAGCATGTTGGCAGTGGCTATGCGCTCAAAAGTCCAAGGGTTTTGATTGTTCCGTTCTCTTTCCGCTTGATCTTTCCGCATCTTCTCTAGGGTCTCGCGGCTTACAGCCTTCGCTGGGAAAGGCAGCTTGTGGGCAACCTGGTTCAGGAAACCTTCTACCTCTTTGAATTCACACCGTCCTCCCATCTCTACCACGAGGCGGCCAGCCCTCACAGGGGTCACGTAGTGATCAATGGCACCTTTGCCACCCCCCATGCGCTGCCCGATACCCTTGCGGGTGATGGGCTTGAAAGGGGCTGGTACCCGCCATATGGCAAACATGTTCTTGGGGTCCATAGACCGGTTGATTGTCAGGCGCATCATTTCAAAATGGCCCCAGTGGAGGTAACCACCGCCCAGTGCCTAAAAGTGAATGACAGAAACATAAGGAGACTTAGGTATCTTACGGGCTTCAGTATTATGTCCGTTCTTTTATAACTGTGGCTTCAATGCTATAAACAAAAAGAGTATACACTCTGAGAGCCAGGGAGGCCAAGCCCTGAGTAGTGTAATAAAGGAGAGAAGAGCAGCAAACACCAGTAAAATCCTCTGAGGAAGTGATTGTATTAAAAACAATTTTATTTGAAAGGCAAAGTAAATTTCTCTCACATACACACCGAAGAAGAGGGGGAGCTAGGTGGGGGCCAGCATGAAAAAACTATTCCATCCAGGGCTGGGCCAAGCTGAAGGCAGGAGCCAGGAACTCTACCCGGTTGCCCAGGTCCGTGGCTGGGGACCCAAGTTCTTTAGCCATATTCAGCTGCCTCTGTGGTGGATTGGCAAGAAGCTGGATCGGAAGCCAAGTAGCTGGTACTTGAACTAATACTCCCAAATGGATGTGGGCTTGCCAAGCCAACTTAACGTGCTGGGCCACATGGCCCATCCCAGGAGGTCATGTTAAAGTTGAGGCCAGAACGGAGAAAACTGAGAAAAGAAAGGAGTGCTACAGACACAGGAAGTTCAAGGGCACGTTCAGGTAGAAGCAGTGTGGAGTGAGGAGCGGGGAGCATGCACATTGAGGTTCTCCGGTGAGTGGAAGTCCTAAGCAAGCCCACTTTGCAGGTGCTTCCATTAAAGGAACTACTCGGCAGGGAAGGATATCACCTATCCCACATCGATAGTTTTGTTTTTATCTGATTAGGGGGAAAATCAGGTAGCGTGTCCTGCAAGATTCACATTATTTTCAATCTACATTAAAAGAAAAAAAACTCAGAAGTGTGCACTGGTACCCATTAAGCCCTCTGTGCACGTTAGCTGAAAGAGCAACTGGGGGCAGTTAGAAAATCTGTGGAGGGAGAGATAAGAATTAAAGAGTGTGAGGTTTTAGCTTCTATAGCTGCTTGGCATGAAACTCACCAAGATGGCAAAATTGCCCTCCGTGAATTCAGTAGCTTCAGTGGAAGGTCCACGGATGTCATTCAGGTTTTTAGGTTCTCTTCTTACTTTGGGCACAAGTGGTACCCTTTCCACAAATCTAAGTTTGGGTCTTTCAGGAATGGAAATGTCTAAAAAACACACACACACAAAGAACACATAAAGCTACATGTCTTATAGGATGCCCTGTCCATCATTCAGGTGACTGTCCGAAGGCTCCCACCGAATAATACATCATTACAGCCCTGTGGATGCTTCTGATGACATTGGCATCTTCTGGTTTCGATGCTGGCCAATGCACATGTTTCTAAAACCTCTGGATAGTCATTAGTCCTCAGAACAGCCTCGAATGTTCAATACTTTAACAGGGACTGTCTGGGAATCACAGTTTCATGTAATCTTTCAATCAACTTTATGGCATCTATTTTTAGATTTTCTGTTTCAAACTTTTGAACTTTACAGAGTTTCACACACACATCAAAGGGCCAAATTAAAAAAAAAAAATCCTGCAGCTCAAGGAAATACCAGATCAGTTAATGCATGAACACACAAGTTATCACCGTCACCCAGGTAAGGAAATAGTAGGCAGGCACTATTTCTTGTCTCCATCGTGTAAGGAACTTGAGGCCATTGAGTTAAAAGATCCAAGCCAGGCCGCCCGACACCCTCAAACTCTGCCCAGAGGCTTTCCCCGCCAAGGCCTGCGCAGCCCATACAGTGTGCAGCTGTGAGCCGGGGCAGGGCACGGAAGCAGGCCAGACGCGTGACATCTCACCACCGGACCTGACAACTTGGGACAAAAACACCTGACTCGGAATTCATTTACTAGTCAGACAATCACGGAGGCGTGTATAAAACCATAGACTTTGGGGAAATACCAAATTCTTCACAGAAAGGGCCCCTCTCCTGGCTCCTACGTGCAACTAGAGCAGTTTAGTTCTATTTTCTCTTGTTATGGATCAGTGAGCATGTTAGCAATTTAATAATTACATGAAGCTAAGACCATCATGTGGCCCTTTTGAAGTTCCTAGTACGTGAGATAAAAAAAGAAAAAAAAAACCACCCCAGGTAAATCCAATTTATACGATGATGAGTTACCCTAGCGTGTATGTTAACAAGATAATGCTTTTCGGGCCCGGCGCGGTGGCGCAAGTGGTTAAGGTCCTCGCCTAGCACGCCCGGGATCCCATATGGGCGCCGGTTCTAATCCCGGCAGCCCCGCTTCCCTTCCAGCTCCCTGCCTGTGGCCCGGGAAAGCAGTCGAGGACGGCCCAAGGCTTTGGGACCCTGCACCTGCGTGGGAGACCCGGAAGAGGCTCCTGGCTTCGGATCGGCATAGTATCGGCCCGTTGCGCTCACTTGGGGAGTGAATCATCGGATGGAAGATCTTCCTCTCTGTCTCTCCTCTCTGTATATCCGCCTTTCCAATGAGAAAATAATAAAAATAAATCTTTAAAAAAAAAAAAACAAGATAATGCTTTTCACACAGTATTATTAAATACCTAGGTAAGCACATTTAGAGACTAAATCCAAAGTTGCAGCCGTGCAGCCCTGGCCGGGGAGACGAGACACACACGGGCTCCCTAGGCGCGGGAACTTTGGGGAGCTGCTCAACTCTGGGGTTCCATCGGAGGGGGAAAAAAAGGGAGAAACAGAACATTCAGCTCTCACCTTCAAAACTTGGCACCGGCAGCAGCGTCTTCAGGCCAGCTCTGGCGGACGGGGCTGCCCAAGCATCTAAAACGAGAAATTAAACGTGGGTCACTGGCAGGGAGTGCCGCGAGTCCCATTACCAGGGCTCACAGGGTCACGCGTTCGAGGCCAGCCAGGTGGCGGCTCTGATCACTGACCCCTCCCGGAGCCGCACCGGCAATGCAAGGTGTGGGGGGGTCCTCTGACCTGACCAGGGCCCCCGCCGCAGCGGCCCCCCGCCTGCTCGGGCCAGCAGCCGCCACATCGCCACGCGCGCCCGGCCTCCACTCGGGGACGCAAGCGCCGGGCCGGAAGAGGTGCTCGCCGTGGTCCACCCCGCGGAGAGTTCCGACGGAAGTGGAAGAAATAGCAGGTGCTCGCAACTTGCGTTCCGGAGCCCGGCCTCCTAGAGATTGTCAATCCAGTCCCTGAAGTTTTCCCTGACTCCGGACCAGGGCGGCGGGGGCAGGGAGGCGTTTCCTTCGTTTACAAAACGCTTTTTAGTGCCTGAGGTTACTTAGGCAACCATATTCACAATCCTTCCTTGCCGGCTTCCCAAAAGACGTTTGCAAAATGCCACACGCTTCTACTGGTTTAATGTTTACTGAGCGCTTGCCATATATTAGATACTCAGTTGACCCTGTCAACAGGTCCCGAGACACAAAATTTGCAGGTTCCCTTTCGAGGGTCAAAGAATTGACTTTCTCTGTGTCGCCCAACAGGGAAAGAGCACAGGCAGAATTGGAGCATGCACCCTCTGACTCCAGGGAATGGACAATGGCATCAGATGATATCAAGAAGAAATGAAATGAGGTGTACTTATTCTGGAAAATTTGGGAAAGAATCATTTTTATGAGTCTCAAGCTTGTTATATTTGAGAGTGTACTCCCCCCCCCCGTGTCCTCTCCACCCCCAAGCGTCTAGGACACAAATGGGATTAGTCACTTGAGATTGGTGTCTTGTAATGAAATAATTAGATCTATGTGTGACTTTCTTCCAAGATGGACTTCACAAATGGTGACACATAAAACCTATCATGTTTATAAGGCTGCTTGGAGAACTCTGATCACAATTTCATGCCCTGTGTTATCTGTGTACTGAATGTGTAGGAATGTTGTGGGTGAAAACGAAAGATGTGGTTTCTGAACCTTTTGGTGCTCTACAATTTCCATTTCCTTGTTTATTTTAGTTTTTAAGAAGATTTGTTTATTGGGAAAAGGTTTTATTTATTGAAAAGGCAGAGCAATGGGGAGAGAAGAGAGATAAATCTTCAACAATAATTGCAAAGTCAGATATACAGAGAAGAAGATCTTCCATCTATTGATTCACACCCCAAGTGGCCGCAATGGGCAGAGCTGTGCCAGTCTGAAGCCAGGAGCCCAGAGCCTCCTCTGGGTCTCCCATGCAAGTGTAAGGTCTCAAGGCTTTCAGCCGTCCTCAACTGCTTTCCCAGGCCACAAGCAGGGAGCTGGATGGGAAGCAGAGCTACCAGAATTAGAACCAGAGCCCATATGGGATCCTGGTGTGTGAAAGGCAAGGAATTTAGCTGCTGAGCTGACGTGCTGGGCCCCAGGCTGTGGTTTTAATAGCCATGCCATGATACAGAGGGGGAACATTCTTTTTTGTTTGTTTGTTTTTGCTTTTTATTGTTTAAGATTTATCTGTTTTAATTTGAAAAGCATAGTTACAAAGAGAATGAGAGAGAGAGAGAGAGAGAGAAGGAGGATTGGTCTTCCATTCACTGGTTCACTCCCCAAATGGCTGCAATCACTGGAGTTAAACTAGGAGCTGTCTCTGGGTTTCCTATGTGGGTGCAGGGGCCAGGGACTTGTGTCATCCTCTGCTGCTTTCCCAGGCCTTTAGCAAAGAGTTGGATCAGAAATGGAGCAGCTGGGACATGAACTGGTACACCAATGGGATACTGGCACCACAGGTGGAGGATTAGCCTGGTAAGTCACTGCAACAGCCCCTACATTCTTTATTTTTAAAGAACAAGAGGTATGATCTACATGCTCAGTGTAATCCTTTATAAAAATTCCAATGCTTTCTTTTCACAGAAACAGATAAAACAATTCTTCAGTTTGTATAGAACCAGAAAAGACCTCAAATAGCCAAAATGATATAGATAAAAAAGAACAAAGCTGGAAGCGTCCACTTCTTGATTTCTGAAATATTATAAAGTGATTGCAATAAAAATAGCAAGGTGTTATTGTAAATAAAAAAGATACGTTGATCAATAGAACAGGATAGAAAGTTCAGAAATAAATCCATGAACTTATGGTCAACAGGACCCCTCAGCAAAGGTATAAGAACATGCAAAGGGTTTTCCTGTGCCTTCAGGCATGGGGTGGATATGGTGTTCTTGGTTCCTGGCATAACTTAAAGGGAAACTGTCACAACATCGGAGGCCCTTGATGTCCTGCGAAGGAAGGACAAGTCAAATTTCTTGCAGCAGGAACCCACCTAGGTGGCTCCAACCTTGACTTCTAAACGGACAGTACATCTACAAAGGAAAGTGATGGCATCTGCATAGGTCTCAAGAGGAATGGAAGGGAAACTGTTGGTAGCTCATTCCGTTGTTACCATGAAAAACCTTGCTGATGTCTCTGGGAAATAATCCAGAAACACTGGCGAGATGGCTTTGTTGAAATTGACCGCTGTCACTGGGGCTGCTTCTATTGCTGGCTGTTTCATTAATGGAACCTTCACTAAGCAGATCCAGGCAGCCTACCGGGAGCCACGTTTCCTAATGGTTACTGACCCCAGGCTGCCTACCAGCCTTGCACAGAGGTATCTTACATGAACTTGCCTATGATGGCTGTGTGATACAGATTCTACTCTGTGCTGTGTGGACATTCCATCCTAGGCAACAGCAGGGGATCCACCCATTGGGTCTGATGCGGTAGATGCTGCCGGGATGTTCTGTGCATATGTGTGTGTGTGGCAACATCTCCCATGAACACTCAGGGGAGGTCCTGCGGGAGGATTTCAAGGTGAATGGATTGCCCCAGCTCCAGAGTTCACTCAGCCCGAGTTTGCAGAGTGGTCTGAAGGTGTGTAGGTGCCTCCTGTGCCTTTGCAGCAATTTCCCACTGAAGTCTGGAGGGCTCAGCCTGCCACTAAAGACTGGTCTGAAGCTTTCATAACTCAGGCCATCAAATGGGTTGATGGGGAGATTCCCAAAGAAACTTTGTCTGAAGTGATCCCAGGCCAGATTCTTGTGTGTGCTTGCCAGTACAAGATCTGGCACAGTCCGTCGCCCCTGTCAGCCTATGTATATTCTGGTGGTTGCAATTGCTGGGTCAGTTCGGCCTCCAGCCCCGTCTTCTACACAAACCAATGGGTGTTGCAGCTCATCCTGATCCTGCCCACTGCATACTTGGCCACGCAAACCAGTGGAAGCTGCAGCCCAGTCGGGGCAACTCCCAATAACCCTCACCAGGTCTGTCCCTGCCCTTGTCCCTGTGCTTGCCAGTGTGTGTAGCAGACTGGTCCAGTCTGTCCCACATCCCATTCAGCTCTCATACATGTCAATGGGCATTGAAGCCTAGTTCAACCCAATCAGCCCTGCTATCCAGCCCACACACCTGCCGATGGGTGGCACCCTCTGTCTAGCCATGCCTGCCCCAGTATTGGACATTCTTGTAGCTGGTAACAGTGAATGGAATTTCATGCAGTTTTTGAATGGAGAAGACGTGTTTGCTAGCAATCTTCCTTCTTTTCCTGTTTGCATCTCTGCAGAAATTGTGTGTAATTGACTTCTCCCCTGAAGAAGGCTTAGGCTGTGCCAGTCATGACCAGTAGAGGTCCTCAAAGTGCTGGTTACTGCATCTGAACCAAATGCCTGCAAGGGTTTGAAGTGTTAGGCAATGAAGAACACATACATTTGATTTTGATTGGAGGGGACTATTGCACTTTAATCCATTCCTTTCTGTCACAACCAGTACATTACAAAAGACCCCTGATTATAAGCAACGCATAAATCTCAGAGAATATAATTATCAAGGTTTTTTCCAAATTGAAGAGAGTTTTAGAGATGACTCTAAGCCAAATTCCTCATTTTTATGGGCAAAGAAGCCAATTTTGAATTAACTGGAGAATTGCTCTCTCAAGTTATTTAGCTTGCTTATGAACTAATACAGAATACTTGCCAAAAATACATTTTTGAATATTTTATTTATTGGAAAGGCAGAGAGAGAAAAAGGGAAAGAGCAAGGGTGGCAGGGAGAGGAAGGATAAGGAGAGAGAGAGAGAGACATTTCCATCTCCTGGCTCACTCTCCAGATGACTGCAGTAACCAGGGATGAGTCACACTGAAGCCAGGAGCCAAGAGCTCTTTCTGGGTTTTCTCACATGGATGGCTGGGATCCATGTCCTCGGGCCACCTTCCACTGCCTGCCTTGGCACATTAGCAGGGAGCTGGACTGAAAGTGGAGCAGCTGGGACTTGAACTGGTGCGCCTGTGGGATGCCAGTGTCTCAGGTGGCAGCTTAGCCCTCTGCGACACAATACCAGCCCTACCCCACTGCCTTGGAACCATACTTTTTTCCTCACACTGCATCTGTAGATTGTGTTTTCCAACTGAAAAGAATCTTTTATATACTCAATCCATAAATTCAAGGTCTGTTTTGTGTCAGGTGCTGTGCTACACACAGCCTCTCAGACGCCCTGGAATGGGTGCTAGCATGTTGTAGGGTCTGCTTCATTTACTTGGCTGTCCTTCCTAAACATGTCTTTGCATCTGTAAGTATTTAGTTTTACTGTACATTTTAGGGACTTTGAACTGTCCCATTACCCGCACGCACAAATTTGTCTCGTATTTCTCTGTGGTTAGACATACCAGCTCTTTTAACTTTTTCTGTGTGATAAATATTGCATGTTAGGGAAGAGTATTTAATTAATCACTCCCAGTTTTCCTTCCATTGCAGTGACCACACTGGCCTTTTCTGAGACACAGTGACTCCCCTAATGGATGCGTGGGAGAGGAGGACTTGGCCTGTGTAGCTCACAGCTCTTTCTCCTGAAAGCCAGACTTACCAGAGAGCAGGCACCTGCTGCAAGGTGCCAGGATCAGAGGCCTGTGTAGTGCTGGGGCTCAAGGCTGGAAAGTGTATTGGGGCTATTCACCTAAGCTTTATTTTCTGAGTCATGGCTGATGTGCTGATCCTCCTGTATCTTTGAGTCCTCTCTTCTTTATATAAATTTTGTACCTGGGGATTTTGGAGTAAAAGGTGGATATATCTTAGGCCTTTTGGTTTGTATTTTTACATATTTTCTAGAAAGTTTATACCAGTGTTGACTCCTACCAATGGCGATTAGTTATGAAAACTTAAAAAACATTTGCTATAAACTGTTTAACGTTTTTTAATTGAAAAATTTTTCTTTGAAAGTTTTTTTCCCCAAAAGCTGTATCTTTCCTGTGTCATATATAAAACATATAAATTATAAATTGAATATAGATTATATTTACATGTTTGAGATATGTCAAATATATAAAATATGCTCTCAGCTTGATTTTAACCAATACAAGTATCTGATTCTGAACCATCTGGGAGTTTCGTGAGAAATTATTCTGGTCATTTTATGTGCATATATATGCGTGGATATATGCATATATGTTTATATTAGCTGATTTAAGAAGGAATATTTAGCAAAAATCAGAAAGAAGAACTTAAAAAAATTTATCATTTAGTTCATAAAAACAAGAAATGTATTGTTAAGTTATCCAAGAAAATCAATACTGATGTACCACCTAGGTTCTCTCCTTATCTCTCCTTCCAGGTTTAAGTAATGAAGGACAGTTTTGTGTTGAGAAGCTGAACATTTTATTTCCATAGGACACAGATTTTGAGACTCTGGGAAACTGAAGCATTTTTTTTTTTTACAGTGTGTTTTTCTGTTTTTATCAGGAACATGGTAGCATCACAGACATTCAATTTCAATTGGTGCTTTCAAAGAGTGTGTGACAGTGCCACATTGGACGTTCAATTTGAAACGAAGTAAGAACGATTGCACCCAGCTTTGGACGGGCTCAGTCTAGTCTGCCTCCTGCCTAGTACTGTGTGAAGTTGGCAGTGATGTGCTCGTTGTTGAAGGGTACATAGTAAGCAACCCCTGGAAAGAAGCAGAGTTTAGCAAGAGGTCACCAGGATGCAGGAATGACTCTTAGTGTCCCAAAGGATCAACCCATTAGCCTGAGATAAAATCATGATGGAGAGAACTGGACAGCCTGATTAGCATGGAGAAACTTGGGAGTGGGATTGATGGAGTTCATGATTCCAGTCTCCAACTTGCCATTTTGCAGAGCACCACGTTAATAACTTTTCCTCTCTCCCTCCCTTCCTTCCCTCCTTCTTTCCTTCCTTCCTTCCTTCCTTCCTTCCTTCCTTCCTTCCTTCCTTCCTTCCTTCCTTCCTTCCTTCCTCCTTCGCTCCCTCCCTCCCTCCCTTCCTCCTTCCCTTCCTTCTTTTTCTTCTTCTCTTTTTTTAAAGGACAGGAATACACACTCACACAGAATAGGAGAAAGAGAGGGAGGGAGAGGGAGAAAGAGAGAGAGATTCCGCTTGCTGTTTTACTCCCCAAATGGCCACAATGGCTAGAACTGGACTAGGCCAAAGCCAGGAGCCAGGAGTTTCTTCCAGGTCTCCCACATGGGCATTCCAAATGGAGTTGCTTTCTTCTGGGGTCAGCCTGGCCCAGGCCTGATAGTTTAAGCCTTTTGGGTAGTGAATTAGCAGGTAGAAGATGTGTCTGTGTGTGTGTCCCTCTCTGTCACCCTGGCTTTCAAATAAATAAGATAAATCTTAAAAAAATAATATTCAAAGGAGAACCTCAAGCTCATTTGTCTCTCATATTCATTTTTGACAGTTTTGTATGAAGTAAGGAAGAGTAATGGGCTGACAATACTTATCTTTTGGGACAGGATAATAGCTAGATGATGATAATACTTGTCAAGTTTCAGCGGTCCAGGTGACTGAAAGAATGACAATTCCAGGCTCAAATCTCTTTGGGTCTCAGAGGCTTCCTTTTTTTATACTGTTTCTCTTGGAATGGCCTGGTAACTAGCAGGCATGCGAACAGGCTTGATTTAGTTCTCAGGGGGAATTTCCCAGGTGGAAGAAGAATTAATAACAACGATGATAAGCATTATTTGTAATCTCATGATAACCCGAGAAGCGATTATTGCTGCTACCACTTCATTGGTGCCGAAACTATGACTCTGTTACTTGCTTAGCAAAGCCATGCACATAAGAGAAGGGACCTCTAATCAAGGCTATGTGATTCCAGCTTTTACTCTTGGCTTTGCTGCACGCCCTACATTCTGAGTTTGTCAGCCAGAGTTTGTTAGACCATCACGTGGGTAGACACTAAGGAAAGCATCACTGCCGTTATAACGTTGGGGAATGAAGCCTCTTTACTTTGGCTTTGAAGACAAGTAAAATCACCTGAGCTAGGAGGATGTCTATACAGAAACATGCATGCACAGACCTTCCTTTGTTGGGAGATAGAAAAAAAAAGTCTATGACCGAAAAAGCACAAAAAATGCATTTGGAATGCAGCACACTCATCCTAGAGTCAGGAACCTTGAGGTCCACAGCTGACTCACATGCTGGAGGCATGCCTTGTGGAAGTATGGGTAATGTCTCAAAGACTTACTTTTATTCTAAGAAGACAGTTGCTCATGATGCCTTTTCACTGTCTTGTAAATTAAAACATGTTATCTCAAAAACCTAAACACAGAAGTAAAGAAGGAAGGAGAGTAGAAGGTGGAGAGGAAGCTGGGAGAGAGCAGGGGAGAGAAGGCTGAAGTGAGGGAGGAAGGGAATATCGTTATGTTCTTACAATTGCATCTACAAACCATATTGACCGTTAAAAACTAAATATCTAAATAAAAGTCTTTTACTAAAAGGCAGTAATAAGTGTAGGACTGTCTATCACCTCCTTCTGGAATGTATTTATACATACAAAAAGAACATTTATAGATGTGTAACTATAGAATCATTGTATATACACTTACGGTCTCACACTTTGCTGATTAAATGAAAAAAAAAACACCTTAAATAAAATGATTAAGGAATGTAGCCTTAAAATGATTGATGAAGTTCCCATGTCCCCATTTCTTTTCTTTGCTCACCTTCATTCAAAGGTGTATTGCCACTAAAGAACTCCCAATAAGTCTTGTGATTGGTATTTTCTGCAATATTGTTGATGGAAGAGACCATGGGGCCCCAAGATGTCATTGTGGTTTGAAATCTAAGAAAAAACAAACCAGATGATAACACCTCATTGGAGATCAGGCCATAGGAAGATAAGAAGGTACAAAGACAATCCTAAATGCATGAAGACCAGCTAAAATCACATTCAAAAGAGAAAATGCAAATGTTAACATGAAATTATTTCACTTGGAATGAAAAAAAAAACTGAATGGGTGTTAAAAAAATTAAATGCAAATGACCCAGAACCAGTGCTGTGGCATTGCAAGTTAAGCCTCTACCTATGGCATCAGCATCCCATGTGGGCACGAGTTTGTGTCTCGGCTGTTCCACTTCCAATTGAGCTCCCTGCTTATTGACTGGGAAAGAATCAGAGGGTGGCTCCAGGTCTTGGGCCCTTGCACCCATGTCAGATGCCAGCAGAAGCTCCTGGCTCCCAGCTTCAGATTGGCTCAGCTCTGGCCTTTGTTGAAATCTGGAGAGTGAACCAGACATGGAGGATCTTTTTCTGTGTCTTTCCTTAGCTCTGTAACTCTGCCTTTCAAGAAAAATAATCTTAAAAAATATAAATAGGTAAATGAATCAATGAATGATGGAATGAGCACCTACCAGTGAATGTTTGAAAATGTAATGATATTTTTCCGTAAGTTTTAGTAACATGGGAAAATAATTAAGTAAAAATGTTAAGTTAAAATACAGGATACAATTTTACATGAAATGTCTGTCCCATGTAGATGATGGATCAGGCTATTTTGTAAAATACGCAGAGGAAACATCCACAGAAACACGAAAGATGAACAGTAGCTACTTTTTTTTGTATGGATGTAATATTTCGTTTCTTCCTTATGATTTCCCCTCAAAACTACTACTATGTTGGTTCATTATACTTAGAAAAAGAAAGATCAGGTAAGCTTAGAGCTAAGCTCAATGAAGGAAAGTGTGTTCAGGGGATTTGTAAGTTAAAATTCCCTGTGTGACTTTTATCCTTTTATCCTACAGAAGTGAGTGAAGTTGGAGAATTGTGCAGTGGGCTGCAGACAGCCCTGTCACTAGACCCCGGTGTAGTTTCACTCAGTTGTGGATTCCTTGGTTTTTGTCCACACTCCTCACAATTTGAAGACTCCTTGTCTGCATCCATATCAAGAGAAAAAATTTTTTTTTTGCTCTAAAATAACTGATCTCTCAGTTCCATTTCCCATGAGCCTCTTGAGGTGTGCTTGTTACTGTCAAAGGGGATTAAGTAGTTCTGTCTTAGGGTTTGTTGGGTACACATACCTGCCACCTACTCACACCCAGTCATTACCTTTATCGAATGATCGTCCAACATTTTCTTCCTGTCCTGGCTTCTTTTCCCAGGACTTCCTCTGTATCTAAAACGCTTTCAGATCTCTACTTTGAACACCCACAATCAAGCAAGTCTGAAAAATCAAGTGTCTTTCTGAGAGACATTTTTCTTTCTTGACACTTAGGTCAATCATTTTGAAGCTTCTTTTGACCTCTACGTTTCATCAGTGACAGAGCCCTGGAGAGTCTTGCCTGGGTGAGTTCCTTTAGGTTTGATGAATGAAATCTTGCTTCGTTCTTACGGTCATGCCCCCATTTTCCACCTTGTCTCCTACTCTTGTAATCCATGGGTCATTTACAACATGAGTTTTTCTCACTTAAAGTTGTATGATGCTTCTTTAAAATATGAAGGCTATCCTCCTTAACCTTGCATTTAAGGCTATTTACGATATCGCTCATCCTATCAGTTAAGACATAACTCAGTTCAGATCTTGTTCTCCCCTATAGCCAAGCTGGCTGACTCAGCCCCGCCCCCACCCCCCCAGTTCTTTGCTTATTCCTATCACAGACATTTTGTTCTAGCCATGTTTCTCTCTAGAAGAATCCTTCCTTTCTCATGTTTTCATTAGTACAAATTATTAGTCCTATTTGCTACAAACCCACAGAGCCTTCTTTGTGTATTCTAACCCACAGTGGGTTCTCTCTCGTCTGCATTCTGTTTTTAAGTTTCCATGATACATTGACTTAACTTTTCATGAGGTCACAACTTAATTGCTAAATTGCAAACTCCTCATGGAAGCATTAGATTTAAAAATCCAGAAATTGTCAGAAGGAAAGAGTAATAAAATAATGAACTAAAAAGGAGAGAGAAAGATAAGGGAGGAGGGGAGAGAGAGAAAGAGAGAGAGAGAAAGAGAGAGAAAGACAGAAAGAGAGAGAGACACTATCAGAATTTGGGTTATTCCTGGGGAGAGTGGTGAATGCCACTTGAAACACTCACTTGAACACGGGATTTTTGCGCTGTGCTTCTTCTAGAACCACGAGCAGCACAGATCCATTTTTCACACTGACATCAATAGTTATGTTGAAGAGCAGCTCCACACCCCTCAGCTGGTTGTTTATGGTGTAGATGACAGTGATGTTGGTTGGTGAGGTCGAAGGCGTGCTTGGTTGGCTGGGTAGGGTTGGTTGTACGTCAGCTCCTGTGAAGAGCAATGAAGCCAAATTTATTAAAGATGATGGGGTTTGTGTTAAAATCTTTGCCACGGACAAGTTATTCAAGAAGATATTTCAATAAAAGGAGTACTTTTCACACAATTCAACAAAGGACTTGGATAAATTGTGTAGAATACTGACAAGGACTCCATGGCCAGTGTGTAAAACTTAGAAAATCCTCTGGGGCGCATTTGTCTTAGGAATCAGATGAATGTAATAGTGTTTGGTATGGGATCTGTTTGCTTGACTTTGGTCTCTGTAAAGACATGGGGACTCCTGTTGTCTTAAAAAATACATGCAACACTGTGTCAGAACTACAGCTCCTCAATGAAAAACATGGAGCTGTGGACAGCATGCCCAGATGCACGTGGAGGATATGGCAGCCCACTGGCTCCTGCAAAGGACATCTGGTATCATACCAGAGGAAGAAGGGCAGAAAGAATTGATCAACTAGCTCAACCAAGTGTTGGCAGAAAATATCTAGGCAAATGGAGACACCAAGGTGGACTATGTCAGCCCATGAACCTTGGAAAGATTTCCTCATCCTTGGATTGGTATGATCAACAGCATTTCATAACCGTCAAGACCATTTAAGCAGAACCCTCAGAACATGCTCCACATAGGGTACCCTGGGAGGACACTGGGTGGCTTTTCCCCATCCCTGAGTACTGTGGCAGTTGAGAGGCTGGGTATGGCTTCTCCCCTTATATTTCCCTCTTCCCCCAGACACAGGAAGAACAAGAAAATTCGGAAACAGTGGTCTTACCCACTTTCCCCTAATCCTGGATCCTTCCCTCCCTGATCAACTATGTAAACATGATCAAAAATAAAAATAAAAAAACTAAAAAAAGAAGAACATACAATGCATTATATTAGCATTTGATTAGAAAGAACTGGAAGTATACATATGAAACAGGTTAATTCTGGGGTGATACATTTCTATGAAGACTTTTAGTCTCTAAATCCACAGTTCTGAAATGTTTGGATTTGAAATATCTGCATTAAATTTACTTGTAATTGGATAAAGATCTTTCAAATTAAAAGGTGGTTTTGCAGGTTTTACCCCATTTCTTCAGGATGCTGTTAACATCAAGCTTTCTTCTGCTCCCCTCAGTGTTCCAGAGGAAATCAAGAATTTGTCATTGCATTGTATGTGGATTCTATTTCTTTTTGATACGTACTGTATAATTCCCAATATTGCAGTTCTTTATCTACATACATGACAGGATAAAAATGCTTGGTGGTGAATTTTCAAATGAATCAATGAAACTGTTTGCTGGGATTACGATCTTTCCCCTCCTGCAAAATGCTTTGTACATGTAGGTGCTCAGTGAATTCTTCCTGAATGAAACCAAATGGACCTGAACTCTGGATAGAAGATGTATGACTGTGCTCCAGCACACACTCTTAGGAACTGGAAATCAGATGTGACTTTATCAACAGGATACTAACAGACATATTATTCCTGGTATTAGTTGCTGCATATCACATAAGAATTAAAAATTATGTTAGAAGAGTTCTTACCAGGGTTACAAGTCACAAGGGGCACGTCTAGGTATGTCTTGCCTCTCAGAGTAGGGAGGATCTGTGCAATGGACATAGGGTTGTAGAATTTCCCTTGCTTAATATCGTTAAGTATCGTGTCCATAGTCTTCTCGCAGTTCCACTCCTTGTTGGGTTGCACAGGTGTTACAGAAAGAGCCTGGGTTAGGGATGTGGGGTGGGGATGGGGAGATAAAGAGGAATTAGGTATAACAGGAGTCGTTTCTGTAAGGGATAGAATAGATCACTCATCTTTGTGATTACCTAAATAAAAAAACCAAAGCTACACAAGGTTTAGAACTACTTTTGTCATGATGTCCCTACCAATTAGCACGATGTATGTCACATGGTAGTCACAGAATGAGTATTTGTGCAATAATCAGACTTGGGAACCCTATTAACAGGATTTAGGGAACACTATTCAGTCTCATATTTATGAACAGTTCTTGGAACCAGATGATGGTAAAAGCTAGAAAAGAGCTCCAATGGATTAATATGTAAAAGTTCCAGATGGAGATTCTTTCTAGCCATGCCTGGCAACATAAATGCCATAGCCCTGCTTAATTTTGCACTGTGGCTTGCATATCCTTTGGTGGATCTTTCCCACACTTCCAATATTTCTGATCATTTTAGGATTATCAGTCAGAGGCCCAAGCCCTGGCCACAGGGGCGAGCTCATGGTCTGAGATGGGCTAATTACCGTGCCCCACCCCCTTGGAGATGATTGGTGGATACATGCGCTAATCAGTCTTCCTCTGCCGCACAGGTAGCATGAGGGACAGTTTCTTTTTCCTTCTGGGTTATTCAGCTGTGCCTACTGAAGTAAACATTGAACTGCTATGAACCATGCCCATGGTCCTCAAACACTTGGAAGAGCCATACAGCAGGAGAGAAGGCGGGAACCCAGGAATGAGAAAGATGAACCTTGTTTGCAGCTATTCCTCAAATTCCTTCATCCAGTCCTGGATTTCCAAGTATATGTGAAATAATAAAGCTCCATTTTATTCTTAGCAAACATGATGTGCGTTTCTAGTATTTGCAAAATAAAGATTAATAAAACTAGGAATTCACTTAATTTTGCTGGGTTTTTTATTTCACGACTAAAGCAGAAATTATTTCCAATTTATCTCTGGAGTGAGGGTCATTTAAGGTTCCAGTGGACTAAAATGCAAAAGCATTTTGTAATGTGCTATGAGAAGCTATCCTTGTCATCCGCTTTATTTTAGATTTGTAGCGATGGCAACCAGAATGTGTTCTGCAGTTGGGAGTGCTGATGATCGATGCACTTGACCCTTAGGGAGGTAATGGGAGAAGAGGGTGTGGAGGCAGCCAATGGCTCTCCTGTTATAAGCAGTAATGAGCATGTGGGGTTGGACAGTCAGGACGGGTATGTCCATCCTGATAACTTAGTAACTATGCACTATGGCTCTTGCCAAAGTCCTCTTAAGTGGCCTTCTGATTTTAGGAGGAATCAGGTAGATAACTGCCACATTTACCTCCCAAATGTCAGTAAGTGAGATGTGTTCTGGTGAGATAAAACATCCCCAGTGCTAACACTCTAAAAGGAGTAATGCATTAAGCTGTCAGAAGCCACTAGTAACTCTACAGTAAGAAGTGTATCAGATCTGTTTTTTCAGGTAGGTTTCTATCTGAGAATACTGACGGATGAAAAGAGTGATGGTTTTCAGTGATGGAGGGAATGCCTTAGGAGTGCTGTTAGCATAGGACATGATCTCCCGAACCACAGGAAAGGCACTGACATCCTGGAAGAGGGTGAACTACGGCTGCAATGAGGGTTAGCAGTGCTACCGTCCTGCTGAGAGGAAACACCACTGAAAATGGAGCTGTGATTTTTTTTTCAGAGTGCATTTCATTTAGCCTAGCTGCAACCTTGTGATTGTGGGGGAAATGAAATCTAGGCAAATTCAATATTTGTTTGAGATGGTGGCAGATCTGAGATTCAAATCCAAGCTGTTGCAGCTCCAGAGTCCTTGCCTTTTCAATAGGCCAAGGACATTTTCCATTGGAAAAAGTTAAGTATTGGAGACTTGGTGACACCCTTTTCCAATCTGCCTGGCAATCTAACTATGGATATCTGGGCTATAGGATCTGGATCTGGATGAGGTCCTCCCTTTGATAGGAAAGGCTTGGCTTCCCAAGTACAGCTTATCAGAGTACACCCAGCAGGTGATAAAAATCCCAAACAGAATTCACAAGCCAGATTTGCAAAAGTAAAACGCTCCTCTGGTACTAAGTTGCAGCAAGGTTATTTTAAGTGAGGTACACACATAAAATGCCACTTAAAATCCACTTAAGATTTTAAGATGGTATGACATCTTACAATCCGTATGTAAAATCATCTTAAAATCCTTACAGACTTTGTTTTTCTTTGACAAAGCTTTTTTTTTTTTTTAAATGAATCACTTTCTCAACCTGGGTGGGAGTCAGATGTGAAAGAGGGATAGGGACAGGGAGAGGTGAAGAGAGAGAAAGAGGAGAGGGAGGGAGTGGGATGGAGAGGGAGAGAGGGAGAGAGGAAGAGGGAGAGAGAGAGAGGGAGAGAGAGAGAAAGGGAGAGAGGGAGGGAGAGGGAGAGGGAGGGAGAGAGAGGGAGAGAGAGGGAGAGAGGGAGAGGGAGGGACAGGGAGGGACAGGGAGAGGGAGAGAGAGAGGGAGAGGGAGAGACAGAGAGGAGAAACAGGGAGGGAGGGAGAAATGGACACAGAAACTGTTGTGCTTATCTGATGCTTCACTCCCCAGATTCCTAAAAAGGCCAGGGTTCACAGCCAAGGACCAAGAACTCAACCCAGGTCTCCTAGATGGTGACAGGACCCCTACTGTTTGAGAACTAATCCAGTTCCAGGAGTGCATCCCAGGAAGCTGGGCCACTGACTGGAGCTGGAACACTAGACCCTCAGATATGGGAGACTAAGACCAAGTGCTTGCTCCACACATACTTTTTTCTTTTCTGCTTAACATGAACTAATTTGTAGTTGTTTAGCACCTTATTATCATTCTATACTTGAGATGCTGAAACCATATGCTAATGCATTTGATTTTGAAAAATAATAAAATACTAATAATTCTTGGGCCTCTCTTACTGTTTTTATGTATGAAATTCCAATAACAATCTATATTCTGTGTTTCAGAAAATAATTGCATTCTAATGGTAGTCCACAGCTATATTAAGTTGAATGTTGGCTTCATAAATCTCGGATTCTTTTTTTCCTGAACTTTCTGAGCCCGGGAGTTCTTGGTGCAGTTTTTCTGTTAATCTTCTAAAGTATTGGAAGATGTTGGAGCACAAACTTTTAGTATGGATGAAGCAATTTGGACACAGATGACTCTTAAATTTCTGTCTCTAGTTGGTTAAATCTCTCCAGTATTACTGGTGTCTCTACTTGCCTTGGGATGCTGCCTTAATTAGCTTGGCCAGTAGAGGGAGTTGGAGTTAGAGCCATCAAGAAGCATCTTACACAAGAGAAGCCAAAAATTGAGTGTGGACTTGGCCACCAGACAGACGTAGTTCTATCATCTACTAGGAGTTTTAGAAAAATTTGAATCAAATTAAGATTAGTTTTGCTAATCATTTTGAAAGCCAAGTTGCCTTTTTGAGATAAAGGGCTGAAAAACTGATTCAGAAGATTGATAACTCAAATTTTATTATCTTTAGAGGACTTATTTTAATACCTTTATTAATTATACATCAAACTTTCAAAAGTCAATAACTATTATAAAATGATTATTATCAATAAGGAACCAACAAAGTTCTTGGATTAACTTTGTTTTTCAAAGAAGGTAACTCAGTTCATATAGATTTGATGTCACCTCACCTATGAGGTGAGAAGTAACCAACAACCCCCATTGTACCAGTGGAGAAACTAGAGTGTAGTTGTAACAGGAAATGCACCTCAAGATACCCTGGTAGGATGTACCTAGAGGTGTTGGTGGAAGTCTGGTCTTTGTATCTACGATCCTAGCTTAGTGGGTCCAATGCCGGAGCACCCAGGATGTGTTTACCTGCATCGCGAGGCCAGTACTGTAGATGTCTCCTATGATGCCATTGTCTTTGATCCTCATGCTGATGTTCTCCACAATATCCTTTAACACCTGACCAAACAGTACTCTGTAAGCATCATCCGCCCCTACAGGAATCTTGTTGTACATACAGGTCAGAGCCAAGGCCGCCATTGATCCTGTGTCTGAATCACAGGGGACAGGATCACCATCACCACAATATTAAAATGCCTTTGGAGCTAGTTCAGTTACATAATTTCATTTCATGCTCGGAACAGAGCAATAGGATCTGTGATTATTTTCATGTTCAAGTTCCTACAGCCATACAACAATAAGTAGCAAGCAAAAGAGTTGAACCCAGATAGTGTAAATGATTTGTATGTATGTAGACTAGCTATGTGTTCGATCCTGCTTGTCTTGTCCCAGTGTTTACCTTTCAGTATACCAGCATGACATCTCAGTGAAGCCTCCTTGGTCCCTATTCTGAGAGTTAAACTACTTCACTGTGGATGATCATGCTGCTGATTCCCAGAGATGAGGAAGTCCAAACTCTACAAATTGGCAGAAATGTCTCAGCAACGTGTGAAGTTGCAGAAAGAAAAGGGACATCGGTCTGTTGTTGACCCACGTGGGGAGTACTACAGCAGACGTGTACCTGTTTGCATGATACAAATGGGAACAAAAGAAGGCACAGATGAGGAATGGAGAGAACGACAGAGAGCTGAAAGTGACTATGAAATATGACAGTGGCTTCCGTAGGGGAGGGATCATTATACATAGAAGGGTGGCCAAAAGAAAGACGTGGTGTTGTAGAGGAGAAAACTCCCACTGGGAAATAACCATCTGTTTTCAGAACAGAGGAATCAGATGATCCCAGCTTTTCTTTGGATGAGGAAACCATGGGTTTAGCTATTTAACAGAAAAGGACATGTCTAGACATATCAATGACAGCATTGAAAAGCATAGAGTGAAATAGCAGTAGTGATAAGAGAGAGGGTATGTGGTAGGATGGAGGCAAGGTCTTAATATTTAATTTAGGAATGACTTCTACTTATGTGGCAGTGGAGTTGCTGTACCTATTAGAATATAGGAAGAATTATCTTGGTTTCTGTGGCTTATTTCCCCCCCCCTTTATTTGATTATACCTTAATCCACATGTGCAACAAATGTTTGTTAAGATTCTCCCATCTACAGACACTTCCATTGTCCTTGGTTCTTTCCCTGCGGAAAGCTTTCTTCTGGCACTCCCCTCTCTGACTCTACCATTCTGTACACTGTGACTCTAATGTTCCACAGTTCAGCGTTCAGCAGCGGTGATGTACTCACCCACGCTGAAGGGAGACGAATTCACCAGCAGTGTCTTGGCAAAACGGACGGCTAGTGGTAAGGTTGCCTCTGAGTTCTTCTGACACAGGGCCAAGATGGCCAGACTGGGGCTATAGAAGGTTGATGCCTCAGCGTTGGAGCCTCAGAAGGGGACAGAGAATCTGCATTAGATGAACATTCACTTGTAAAGAATGAAAAGCCAAGCCTTTTAAATAGAAATGGCTAGAAAACATATCCCCAAAGAAAGACACAAAATGGGCAAAGGATTGCTACCAGGGTTTTTCGACTGGGGATGTCATTTGGCATTTGAATAGAATAAAAGGGATGCGGATTTCTTCAGACAGGTGGAAGCCTGATAAACCTGTCCCTGTTGTGAGGGTTCTTGGTTCATTGGAAGTGAATCTCTGAATTGTGGGATTATTAGAAGAATTAGAATGTGGGGGTGGACTAAGGCTCTTCCTTAACTTTCCATTCTCACCACCTCCAACTTCTTCAGTTCTCACACACTCAGGAAGGGCCATAGCTTTCCCTCTGCCTTCCCGCCCAATGATGTCTCACTCGAAGGTGCCCACTTCTCCATCTGACTTTGCAGAATTAATACTCTATTTCCTGGATCTCGGCAGGAAGAGGTGAGGGCCATGACGGTGAGGGCAAGCTGTCCCAGGTTTAGGTCTGCAGAGGAGAGGAAAAAAAAAAAACACAGTTACTTAAAGATATTCTTAGAGGAGAGCTTACCAACAGCCTGGTAGGATCCAGCTCATGCTGACTTTTTAATAATATAAGAAGATAGGTTTTTTATTGTCTTTCCAAAGAAAGCAATATGGAAAAATATACTTGAGAGGATATTTTGTCTGTTGGTCTCTGTGTGACTTGATAACTCCATCAAGAGTCCCTGGTATCTGCTTAGAGAAACAACAAGAGCATCCTCAAGGATTTCCAAGGGACAGTTCACAGAAACAAAGCAATTTAAAACCTTTTTTCAAACTGAAACCCCAAGGCAGTTCTTGAGAGGTAGGCAGATCAGACTTTAATATTGTCTTTGACATTGTTATGACAATAGGACTCAGCAGGATCAAGTGCTTGCACAAAGTCCCAGAGTCAGTAAATGGCAGAGTTGGCCTGGAAGCTGGCTCTTTTAGCATCTGATCTACAGCTCTTGCCCCTTTGCCTCCCTCCTTCACAAATGCTCTGACTTCATCTCCACTTCCTTCCCAATATCTTAGAGGGAAGGGGAGGTATTTGTAGGATTAAGGTACAAGCACTGGGGCGGAGATGACACCACGTTGGGAGCACGTTTGGAGATCTTACCAGCAGGGTTACTGGCCATGAGCTCGTAAGTCAGGAGCTTCTGGGCCTCCATGTCGTAAGCTCCAGCCAGGTTCATGGCAATCAGGATGCTGGGGTTTGGAAAGTCTAGTGAAGTTACGGAATCCTCCATGAGCACTTGTATGTCATTAACCAAAGACTGGTCTGCTGTGGGAACCACTGGGAAGAGAAAACACCCTTATTCTTTGCCCTCAAAAATATGATCCCTGTGTCTTTCATGCCTCTTGGGAGCAAAGTCAATACTGGTATTCTAAGTTCTCTAAGAGAGATGAAGAAAATAACATTTTTCTTTTGAGAGCAGGAAGGCAATTAATCCCTACAAGTTATTAACCCATATATATTTTTAGTATTTTTTTTAATGGAGTAACTTCAAGGAATATGGCTTATGTACATTTGACATGATTTCTACTACTTTATAGGAATCATTGATTCTTTGCAACCATTTTTTTCCCTCACTGTTCCATGAAGAATACTAAATATTTTGCATATGACCTGTTCTTAGCAAGCACCAATATTTCCCACTAGTGCTGGGTCAACATTGTCATTGTCTTTGAACCATCAATCATTGATCATGCACTAGTACTTCAGCCCTTCTCAATTAGAAAAATACATGGATTTCAACACAAATAACTTACGCTGTCAAGTTAGGAAAAATGAAAAACACCTGCACCTGAGTTACCCACATTGGCTTTCTGGCTGTGATTGCTTTTTTCAACTACTTTCTCATTAGCAGAGCTCTGAGTTTCTGAGATCTCTGCCTCCCCCAAGGCTGACTGCTTCCCTAAATTCCTCAGGAAAGAATGCCATACTCACAGCATGAACTTCCAGACTGAGAACTGGTGCCAACCATCGCCCAGAGAAGGTTCAGGAGGAAGAAGGAGAACCAGGCCATCTCACTCTCTTCGTCACGTCCCCTTCCACAGTTAGCAGTATTCACAAAGTATTCCCTTCTTTCTCTTATATGTGCTGTGACCCAGTCACTACTAACTATCTATGTTGACCTCTCCTTCTCTGATATAGCCAATTTACACTTGCTTATCTAACTTTACTTGCTATAGAAGCCCAATGTATCTAAAGGTGACTTTTAGGCAGCACAGTCATATGAAAAACTGAAGGCAAAGGCTGTGACAAGAATGTGTCCTTTACTAAAATCCTGGGTGTTTCCATCAGGAAGTTTGGATAACGTGCAAATATAAACCAGACTTCTTCTAGGCCTTATTGTACAAAAATCTCCTGGGCTTTTATTAGCAACCACTTCATAGGCATCAAATTATTTCACGGTCCAGTGCACCTTTTTCACACTGTGTGCCCTTCTAAGCTCTCAGGCAGGGATCTGCCAGGTGAAGTTTGACTTTCTGTGATCAGTTGAGCTGACATGGACGTGGATTGAAGCCTAGATTCTTTGAAGTTGTTTGACTTTAGGAATGAAATGGATCTTCATGGCCCAGAAATTGTTTTGTTTGATTCCTCTTTACTTATCTGGGGGGAAAACAGCCTCTAACAACCAGTGCTTTTAGACTCAGTGTTATCTTTCAAAGTAATTAGAAAATGTGGTGTACATTCATATTAAGTACATTTTCCCAGAAAGGTAGTTATACTGCAAAGATAAGCATCTTGGAATAAAAGTCAAAGTCCTTTTCATGCCCTACAAGATTCTGTTAGATTTGGCATCTGGTTTTCTTTCTGACTTCATCCCAAACCAGTATCTTCCTTGCTCACCTTGCTCAAGTCACACAGGATCTCTTAGTGTTCCTTGAACACGACTGTCACCTTTGCATTCTGTGTCCCTTCTGCCTGGGGCTTTCTTCCTTCATAAATTCTTATGGTGGCTCCTCACTCCCTTCCTTTTGTATCACTGCTCCGAAGTTAAAATGTAAAGAGGCCTCTTCGTGATATAAGGCATCCTGCCCACCGCTGACATCCACCCTTCCCTTACCTGTGAGAGCTCATCCTCCTGTGTCCCACCGGGTTTGTGATCATTTGCCCCCATAGAAATGTAGGCTCCAAGGAGAGAGCTGCTCTATGCTGCTCACTGCTGTATCTCCAACAAGTTGCAACATTACTGAACTAATAGTAGGACTGCTGTAAATATTTTTTTGAATGAGTATGTTTCTGGACAAGTAGAAGACATGGATTACAAAGCATCTTTTTCTTTCTTGGCAAAAGTTGGTGCTTTTGGTGAGAGCACAGGGCACATTTTAGGGGTGTGCTAGCCAGATTCTAACCTGGTCCAATGGTTCCAAATCCAGTTATTCACATCCTGTGAAGTCAACAGCCTCACCTCTAATGAGTGGAACTCAACAAAATAATGGTGTTGGGGTTAGTGTTGCGGCACAGTGAATTAAACTGCTACTTCCAGTGTTGGCATTCCATATTAATGGCCCAAGTACTTGGACCCCTACTCCCATCCATGGATAAAGTTTCTGGCTCCTGGTTTCAGTCTGATCAAGACCTGAAACTGCTGTGGTATTTTGGGGAGTAAGCCAGTTAATGGAAGAGTCCTCTCTTCTCTCTCTCTCTCTCTCTCTCTCTCTGCCAGTCAACAGACGATTTTGTCTCTGTGTCACTCATCTCTCCCTCCTCCTCATTCTTCTTTTTTCTTGTCTCTACCACTTGTGTTTCAAATAAATAAGTCTTTAAAAAAATATGACTTGGGACATCAGTCTTCCATTAAGATAAAAACAATGATGGAAAGAAGATGAACTGCCTTTTGCTTGCATTCCCTCTCTGGTTGTTCTTGTACTTTGTTCTGATGAAGTTGCTGCCTAACGGAGAGGCCCTTATGGTCAAGAACAGAGAGCAGCCTGCTGCCAACATCCAACAAGGGAAGGAGTGTTTCTGCCAGCAACCATGGTTCTGGTAGGATGGAAGACTGGAAAGTTAGTTTATTAAGTCCATATGGTGGAGGGCCTTGAATATCACATGAAGTAGTAGGCAGACTAATGCCACTCTCTAGTTCCCACCAGATGTCTAATTCTTAATTACTTGAATCTGGGTAGCAAAGGGGAATTAAAGTTACACAGAGATAGCTAGACAGAACCCACCAGCATATGTGTGGGCTGGATAGTGGGGGTGGTTGAGCTGAGCTAGACTTCAATGCACATTGATATGTATGAGAGCTGAATGGGATGTGGGACAGACTGGACCAGTCTGCTGTACATACTGGTAAGCATGGGAACCAGGGCAGAAGGCAGGACTGGTGGGGGTCATTGTGGGTCGCTCCAACTAGGCTGCAGCTTCCACTGGTTTGCATGAGGGCAAAGTGTGTGTTGGGCAGGATCAGGATGAACTGCAACACCCATTGGTTGGTATAGTTGACAGGGCTGGAGGCAGAACTGACCCAGCAATTGCAACCACCACTATGTGCATAAGCTGACTGGGGCAACAGACCATGCCGGACCTTGTACTGGCATGCACACACAAAAATCTGCTCTGAGATCACTTCAGATGAAGTTTCTTTGGGGATCCCTCCAACTGAACTACTAATCTCAGAACCCCAACCATGAAGAGAATTGCAGGTTCCATGGTCTGACCATGGAGCGCATGTATCAAAGCTGAGTCTCCTCAGGGGCTAAGACGGAGCAGTGGACAGCATATCCAGGTGCATATGGAAGATATGGTAGTCTGTTGGAATCTGCAGAGGACACCTGGCCCCACAATAGAGGATGGAGGACAGAGCAAACCGATCATCTACCCCAGTTATGTGTTGGCAGTGAAAATTTGGGCAAAACGGAGACTCTAAGGTGAACTATGTCAGTGGATTCTGGAGAGATTTCTTCATGCTTGGAATGGCAAGATTGGCAGCAATTCAGAACAGTTGAACTATCAAAACCACTTGAGCAATGCCCTTGGAGCATGCCTCATGTCAGGGACCCTGGGATGGTTGGGAGGGTGGTTGTGGCTTCTCCCTTTATCTCTCCACTTACCCCAGATACAGAAAGAGAGAGAGAGAGAAAGAGAGAGAGAATGTGGAAACAATGGTCTTACCTGCTTTCCTGTAGCCCTTGATCCTTTGTGCCCTAATCAACTATGTAAGGCTTATAAAAATAAAATAATAATAAAAAAGTGAAAAAATAAAGTTACACATAGAATTAAGGTTGTTAATGGGCTGAGCTAAAGGTGGGAAGATTAGTTTGGAGGGCCTGAGTAGGACCAATGTAATCACAGAGGTCCTTACAAGTGGAAGAGCTTACAAGTAGCAGGCGAGCTGCAGTCAGAGACACAGATGAAAAGATGTCAGCAGAGATCAGAATGGCACAGTTCCGGTTCTGAGGTTGGAAGAGGGCAAGAGTCATGGACTGCAGGCAGCCAGCAGAAGCTGGAGAGGCAGGGAAATGGAGAACACAGCCTTTTACACGCTTGGATTCCAGCCCAGGTAGACCCACTTCGGACTTATCTCCAGAACTGTAATATAATAAACTTGTGCTATTTGAATTTGATAAAATTGTGATAACCTGTTACAGCTACAGCAAGAATCTACCACAAATGGGGAACTCGCCAGGTACTGATTTTGGGTTCTAGTACCTACTCATGACTGTTCAGAGACGATTTTATCCCCTTTGTGGCCACCTCTGTAACATGCACTTCTTTCAAGAAATCATTTACAGCCAGAATTGCTGCAAGTCTGGTTATGACACAGCTGTTACAGGTAGCACATAATTTCCTGAAGAAAATCCACAAAGATCCTACATTTCTTAAGTATTACATTTTGACAATCTTTGACTATTTATTGGCTTATCCTGTACCTAACGTTCTTATTTCCAAGTGCCCAGGACCTCTCTAGATAACTTTAAAGTCTATTTGTAGTGATCATTTTTGCTGTGACAGCAGATTGTAGGTTTGGACTTGGTCTAGCTTCCATATTAGTTTCAAACCTTAGGAGTTTTTTTTGTAAAGTGTGGTCAGAAGGAGATGTCCCTGAGTGGTATCTGTGGCTTGCTAATGAACTGCTATCTCACTGTTCTTCGTCTCTAATAGCAAAGAGTTTCTAGCAACCTGCCGTATCAGTGCTATTTTCTAGTAAGAGACTTTTGTCTTGCAGTAACTTTGTTTAGTTTAAAATGGAGGCTAGAAGTGCTGGGAGGTGTTCAAAACAGTCGCACAAAGCAAGAATTGATGTTTGATTCAATCAGAAGAATAAATGAGAGTATCAAAGAAAATAATTTCAAAAAAGATGTGATTTTTTTAAAGATGAAAAAAAATTTTTTTTGTAAAGTCAGATATATATAGAGGAGGAAAGACAGAGAGGAAGATCTTCTGTCCATTGATTCACTCCCCAAGTGGCTGCAATGGACAGAGGTGTGCCAATCCAAAGCCAGGAGCCAGGAGCCTCTTCCAGGTGTCCCACATGGGTGCAGGGTCCCAAGGCTTTGGGCTGTCCTTGAATGCTTTTCCAGGCTACAAACAGGGAGCTGGATGGGAAGCAGGGCTGCAGGGATTAGAACTGGTGCCCATATGAAATCCCATAGCATGCAAGGTGAGCACCGTGCTGGGTCTAAGATTTTATTTATTTATTTTTTATCAGAGAAGTTTTAACTTCACAGCAAGATTGGGAGTATGCTACAGGGAATTTCCGTATGTGCACTGTCCATACATAGGATGACTTTCCTCTGCTGGAGTGGTCCCTTTGTTAATAACTAATGTGCTGACATTGACACATTAAATAAGAATTGCAAAGGAAGTAATGTTTTAATGGTGTGATTTAATGTTGCTTTACTCCATGTGTCAGTTAAAATAACATGTCAGACACATTTGATTAAATAGGTTTCATTAGGAGGAATACGTCTGTGACATGATTTGATAAAATTCATGTCACAGGGTGACAGGTGCTCATAAACATGTATATTTCAAAATCACCAGTGAGTATATTTTTAAATGTCGCATCACAAAAGGATAAAAACTTCTCAAAAAACCTAAAATTTCAACCACTGGATGATCCTGCAACCTCATTCTTGGGCTTATGTACTCAAGGGAAATGCAATCAACCTATTGAAGAAATATTTGCACTCCTGTGCTTTTTTGCAACACCAATCACCACAGCCCAGAAATGAAAGCAAGTTTAAATGTCCATCCACTGAGGAACGAGCACAAAAAAAAAAGGTGTTGCACACACACACACATACTGTGGACTATGATTCAGCCATTAAATAATAATGAAATCTTATTGTCAATAACGTAGTTGGAGGTTAAGGTCACAGTACTAATGAAATCAGCCTGGCACAGACAGGACCTGCATGCTTTCACTCATGGATGTTATCACAAACAAGGCGATCTCACAGACATGGA